CTTAAGCGAACGTCATAGTTAGAAAAGGTGAGAATTCCAGCAGCCCTATTCTGCAGCTTTTGAAGTTTAACTGCTAGTCCCGTATTGATATTACCCCCTACGGCACCACAGTAATAAAAATATGGCATTACCAGTGCATTGTACATATTCACTCTAGTATCAAATGGTATAAAATGACTTACACGCCTTAAGATAGCAATACCAGCGGATATTTTCTTTAATATGGTATGAATGTGTGGGCGCCAGTTCAGAGATTCATCAATTTGAACTCCAAGGGATTTATGTTTAATTACTCTTACTAAGGGTGTATTATTGACTTGGACTGTGAAGTCACTATTTAAATCTCTCTTCAGGGGAAACTTCAGCAATCAAAACGTGACTGACAAAAAAGAGGATTAATAAGTTTAAAATGAACAATTTGACCTCAATCGATGCCCCGCACTCACAGAGAAAAGTTAATTCCAATTTTTTATACATTAGCTAGACTCTTTAAATAGTGACTGCAGAACATTCCGAAGCAAATGAAAAATATATATTTTCTTTGTTGGTTAATTATCAACAAACCCCAACCCAACCTCTATTCGTAGGACAACTTTTAATATTCAGGTGACACTTTTTTGGGGTACCAAGGTTGCCCCTGAATAGATATTTAACTTAAGTGCAATCTACGAGTCTAAAAAAGCTCCATAAGGAATCAAGAGCCCGAAATCAGAAGTTTGAAGCCGAGAGTCAGAAGTCGGGATCCCGAAGGGAAGTAAAAAATAGGAAGTCGGAGGTTTCTTATCGGCTTTCGCGCGTATCGTTTACGCAATAGACTGGCTCTACGCGTGACCTTTCCTTTGGCACTGTATCAAGTAGTGTCTATTACAGCATGCTAGCCGTAATTGAATTTGCAATTGGCTGCGTGCAATCGATAAATTGAAAAGAACAATCGACGGTGACCTAAAGCCGTGCGGAAGAGAAGAAGAAGAGGAAGATGTATTCTTGTTTTACGATGGCTTTAGAAGTGTTGCTGTTTATGGCTCTCATACCATTCAATTGGACACAACGACGGGGTTAGTCGATTGTGCTTTGATTTGATAGGATACTTTAATATTTTGTTGCTAAGTAAAAACTAGGCGATATTACGTACCTGTTCTTTTTTTTTTCGTTACTGCACACCTGGACTGGCTGACATAAGTTAAACCACAATCAATATATAAATAGGAACATGCACTTATTCTTTCTATCCATCTTTTTTTCTTATCTTTCTATTTTTTTTTTTTTTTTTTTTTACTGAAATTAGTATAGCCGGGTAATATCATGAGTGTACCGCGAGTAATATTTCAAAATCGACCAAAAACCATGCAATTTTAAAATATCACTAGCTGCTATTGTTGCCAAATACCACGTGCAGCTCATGTTTTATTTTATTATTTTTTTTTTATAATAAAAGCCAAGAAATTTTTGGCAAAGCACGGAAGATCTTTATTTTGTTCCGGATCAAGGAACAAACAAGGCCGTTTACAATACGTAACATCTTTTTGCTTCAAGACGTAGATGATTGACAGCCTTTTGAAAAGAGCAAACGTGACGGAAAAGTTCAAGTCGTTTTCAAATACTTTTGGAGTACTTGCAGTATAGTCCAATCATTTTGTGTGAAAAATAGGTTAACCTAGAACTAATTGCAATAGATCGAAAATATTCCCACTGTTTTAGACTCAGAAAAGTATCCTTGGTAACATCAAAAATCTCAAAAAGCCCCGGCAGGAAGTTGCTTAAAAACGGGATTTTTAGAGAGGAGAGATGTGACGTCACGTTACCATGAAAGCAAAATTTCTGGATCACAACAATAGGCAAAACAAAAACACATTTCTCACCCGCCGTTGCACGACTGCGACATGAAACTTCCTAATTTCAAGCGCCCGCTTTATGGGACAGACAGTGCAAAATACAGATGTGTGCAAACAATTAACCTACAGCTAATTGCAACAGATCGAAAATATTCCCGCTGTTTCAGACTAGGAAAACTATCCTTGGTAACATATCAAACATCTCAAAAAGTCCCGGCAGGAAGTTGCTTAAAAACGGGATTTTTAGAGAGGAGAGGTGTTTTTTGACGTCATGTTACCATGGCAGCAGAACTTCTGGATCACAACAATAGGCAAAACAAAAACACATTTATTGCCCATCGTTACACGACTGCGACATGGAACTTCCTAATTTCACGCCCCCGCTTTAAGGGACAGACAGTGCAAAATACCGATGTGTGGCAAGCGACTTGGCATTGATAGAAATAGCATAATATGCTTCTAACAGTGCTCGTATATTTCTAAAAATTATGCCAATATTCATACTAGTATTTGTAAGTAAAGCTCATTTAGCAAAAATTCAGAAATTATGCAACAATCAAGTCAAGCCTAACTTTTCAGGTTTTTTGTTTCAACCGCTGCGGTTCCTACAGTGCAGCTCTTTTCATTGCGAGGATCATATTTACGTTCATGTCTTTATCCGCCGGTTTATGCCCGGGCCGGGGGGGGGGGGGGTACTCGATATATCCTTGGGTGGGGAGGTGCGGCTCGGCCCCTCATACCCTGAACATGATTAAGACAAAAATCGCTGATTTTCCTACCCTGTTTAAGACAGAATTCTGATCTTTGATACCAAGTTTAACACATTCGTAGAACATAAGCGCAGGCTCTTTATCTTCTAAGAACAGGGTTATGGGTTCCTGTCTAAGAAAAGATACCCTGTTTAAGACAAAAATCCCGAAAAACATACCCTGGCTGGCCGCACGTCCCCATTAAGCCCTTATAAGGGAGTACCCCCCCCCCCGGGTTCATGATATGATTCATTTCAGTATATTTCAATTCATAAACAAGTAAATGTCAAACTCACTGACCAGGCCATTTCCACCTAGAAACTTTATGAGTGCATCACTTTCCATGAATTGTCTTGTTGTTACTAATTTGAAAAGTATTTGTAGAGACTGATGAATGAACGACATAGAAAGGTAAATCACTAAAATACAAAAAAAAAGTCCTAGGTCACTTCCTGTGGGACTCAGCGCCCAATGATGCAATAAGCAGACAAAAATGGATGCTCGTACTAGCACTAATCACGGTCCAAAACATTGGTTGCATTATATCAATAAATGACAAATTTGTGCTACAAAACCAGACAAAAATGCAAATAATGCTAGTAGTGCTTTTTTGGTGAAATGGATTAACATTATTCCCGTAATGACGAATTATGCCAAACAATCTATCAAAGCTTAGTACTATACTGGGAACATTGTTGCGACATTTAACCGCTCCACTGCCGCGTCGCTTACCGTGCAATGCAACAATATCTTGCCCCGTTTATTTAACACCAACTGTGCATCAGTAGATAACGCTCACTAAGATCGGCCTCTAACAACCTCAATATTCCTAGATCTAACTGTAGTACATATGAAGATAACGCCTTTTCAATTGCCGCACCGCAAATGATTTCGTCATTTAAGTCTAATTTAATTTAAGGAAGCATTTTGTTAGTTGCCTGATATGGAGCACAGAACAAGCTTTTATTTTATATTCATTATTATAAATTATTATAATTATTATTTTTTTTAGTTCCACATAAATAATTACCTGGACATCAAACCGAATAGTACCATATTATAGATTACTACCATTTTTGTAAATTCATTCAGGCGTATGCGAAATCCTTATATAAGAGGTGCTATCATTATTATTACTAGAGGTAGTTATTTATTATAGATCCGTGTTCGTCACTTACAGAAACGAAATCGAGTCGAAAGGAGGCCAGCTTCCTGGCTGAGATGACCCTGATAAAATCAGTCGTGGCGGCTGATCGGCAGTCGCCAGCAATACCTCGAAAATTTGTGCCTTTGTACCACAGCAAAAACCAAGATTAGGATGCTTTTTGACGAACGCGATTATTATTGGTATTATTATTATTATTATTATTATTTAAAGCTCCAACTATACACATGTTTACAGATATATTTAATGTGTTACAGCTCCAAAAACAACCACACCATCAACACAGCCACTGAGTACAGAAAGTCCAACAACAGGGATACCGAATACTGTGAAACCAACTATCCCCCAAGTGTGCAGTGTGCCAGTTAACAAGACTGTACCACCCCTCTCGTGTGATCCACTATGTGGTACAGGTAACTAGTATCTACTACTCTTTGAATTAGAAGGAATCTGCAGAGAAGCATACTAGAGTACAATTATAACAGTCACGTAGGCAGAGTACAATATCAGTCGTCAAAACTACATTAGCATTTTAGCAATAACTGCGAAAAATCCGTAAGCGCTACACTTCTACAGATATACTAGAAGGTTGTGGTGCTTATTTGGGGGTTACAGTTCAAGTATCAGGAGTTGTCCCAAATCGTGACATTTATTCAAGGGCCCTGCTGTTTGAAGTAACTATAGATAATTTTTGTACCTGATTCTTTTTGCCGAAAGATTGGAGGAGGAGGAGGAGGAGGAGGAGGAGCATACCTCACTATTCACACTGTTCTGCCCCCTCCCCCTTCCGGGTCCTTCATAGATGTGCCAGTCCATTTTGAGAATGCCCACCGTAATTATTTCCGTTGCAGGTCTGACGTATCACAGTACTGGAAAGTGTCTGTCCAATGGGCGTTGTCTCTGCTGGTGGGGGTGGACTGGTGCAAATGGCTGCTATGTCGATGGAGGAATTTATAACAACCGAATTTTGGTAAGAGTTTTTGTTATATGATTTACGGAAACAGCTTAGCTCAACTACAAGTATTCTGATTAGTAAACCATCTATCAGTTTTACTTTAATTTGTTTACAGTTAATGGTATAACAAGGAGGCCCTCCAATGTCATGCACATTTCAGTGGGCACCCAGGGGAGGGATCTTGAGACGGCCCCCCCCCACTTATCACAGGTTCCCCCCCCCCCCCCCCACACACACACACACACACACGCCTATCTGAAGGTCTGCATTTATCGCAATCTCTGTTTCTTTCTCTAAAGGCTAAAAATTGTGTTGAAAGGTGCCATTACACACATGTTTACAGAGACAAAAAGTGTGTCACAGCTTCATCAACAACCAGACCATCAACACAGCCAATAGGTACAGGAAACCCAACATCCATTCCGTTGACAACTGTGATACCGAGAACAGGGTCTACAAGTACTGTGAAACCAACTACAGGGAAACCAGTACCACCAACTTCAAGAAGGCCAGCAAAAGGGAAGCCAACAACAATGGAGTCAACTGCAGGAAAGTCGAGCACTATGAATATAACCATAGGTAACCCAACATCATCAAATCCAACCACGGGAGAACAAGTAACTACAGGACCAGCAACTTCGAAAACCAAGGCCAAGCAACAGGGTTTGTAATTAAATTTAAACCAGCCAAAGGGTATGGGGAAACCGGGAAAAACAAGGGAAACAGAAAAAGGTAGGAAAACAGGAGAAAACAAGGAAAAACAAAGGAAAAAAGTTGAAAACAAAGCAATAGAAAACTACAAAAGCAAGGGGGCAAACAAAGAAAAAATAGGAAAATATAGGGAAACAGGGGAAAACATCGGAAGACAAGGGAAGTGGAAACACACTGTCAGGGAAACAGAGGAAAAAAAATGGGAAAACAGGGGGGACTACCGAGAACAAATCCAGCTTGCGAGTCAGGTCGTATGTTTGGTGACCAGCATGAATTCACACAATATTGAGAAAAACGTTTCCTTGGGTAACACCTACCAGCCTCTGAGATCAGCACCCTTTGCAGTTGTAAATTGTCAAAAAAGTGCGCATGCGTAGTAAGGAACCGTACATGAAGCCGATGAAAAAGTGTTGAGTTAATTTGCATCAGGCTTTATCCTCGCGTTCCTTGCTTTGTGTGTTAGAAAGTTCGACTACTCGCAAACAGTTCAATGCGTTCATGGTAAAATTTGTGGAAAATTTAAAAATTCGAATCACAACAAAACACAAAACTCAACTGGACGTCCATTTCTAAAGGCCGAATCTAAGCTGATATGAACGGCTTGTTTTATTAGCTGACGAGAAACGATCCTCATGGATTTTCATGGAATATTACCGGGCGTGAATATTCCAACAGACCAATTTGACAGTTTGTCCTTACTTAGTTGACTGTTAACAAAGACAGGAAGCGAGTCCAGAATTCCAAGTCAGTAAATAAGTGATAACTCGATCTTCCAGACTTACGTCAACGGGTTACTTAACAAAATAAGTTAATAAGTAATTTACTTTGTTTAAATAATGGGTGTAAAGGACATGATCGTCCCAATGGTAATTGAAATTTAAGCAATTGCAAATTAACCCGAAAAAAAAATTGAGAGTCTTCAACGGGATATGAAACCATGATCTCTGCTTTGGCGCTGCAGCGCTTTACAAACTGAGCTATAAAGACCCTTACATTGAAAGAAGGCCAATTTGTTGAGTTCGTCTTAACCCATGAAAGGAATGAAACATAGAGTGAAGTTTGTTGTTTGTTTGTTGTCGTTTTTTAGTTACAGATTTAGCTGCGATCATTGCGCATCCGCAAAATACCACTCAGATAGAGGGAGGAAACGTAACTTTCACTTGTGACGCGACAACAAATCTTGTATCATCATTCTCATGGACTAAAGACGGATCTGTTGTGAATGCGACCTCAACAATTATTTTGTCATCTGATAACAAACAGTTGACGATAATTAATGTCTCCAGAGGAGACAGTGGACACTACACCTGTGTGGCTACTAACGACGTAAAAACAGTTCAGTCTAATGCTGCCTTACTTGAAGTACAATGTAAGAATGGAAGCTCAGTATTCCTCTTATTTTTAGAAAAGAAAATGTTCGATCGTTTAACTGCGTGTTTCCCGTCCCTCTTTAAATGCAAGCACTACAAACTGATTCCTAGTCTATTAGATCGTAGCAATACCGGAAGAAAGTAAAAATGAATAGATACGCAGTAAAGTTGTCAGTCTTTTTAACATACACGCAGTTCTTTTTCACATAGTCTAGAAAACCTCAGGCGATTCTTTCTCAAACAAATCGCAATTGTTCGCGTACTTCCCCTACCTAATTTCTATGGAGCCAGCATTATTAAGGCACTATTTTGTGCATATCTTTGGTTACATTTATTTATAAGCTTCCTTTTTTACATTTCTTTTATTTTATTTTCTTGAAACATACTTTTACAGTGGTACCAAGTTCGCCAGAAAATGTGACAGTCATCTCTAAGACCTCACGAGTTGTGAATATCTCATGGGCAACTGGTTTCAATGACAACAGTGATATTCTTAACTACACTGTGGAGATCAGTACAGATAATCAGACATTTGGAGAGGTTACATGCCAAGGGATGTCAAGTAGTGGCTGTGTGGTATCCAGCAGCTCCCTCAAAAGAGTTTTTATTGAAGGCCTTCATCCTGGAAGGACATATTACATCAGGGTGTTTGCAACTAACAAAGTTGGTTCCAGTACTACCAGCTCAGTAATCACCACAACCACAGATGAGGAAGGTACAAAGATGTTAAGTTACATTTCTTAGCCGCTTCAGGCAAAATAAGTTACTCGTGTTGTACTTATAACTTTATGTGCATATAAGTTTTGGCCACTGTTTTAGCACTCATACTGTTCTTTAAATGTTGTACATTGTGATGTGCGAGTAGAAAATGGTAAAGAGGGTGGTGTAAAAAAGGGCTCATCACTGAGAGATTGCGCCAGTAAAGGACTACAAGACTTTGATGACTATCCTTGGCAAAAACAAGCCTAGTGCCGTCTTGTACTGTGTAAAGGGGCGTAAAGGGTTAGACTCCCACAAACTGTTCTCTATATTTTCTTCACACCAAGTACACCTTTTGAAATTCTGTCCTCTGAGACTCTAAGAATTAAGAAAATATATTCCTTATTTGCTCAAGACAAAAGCATGGTAAAGGATTTTAGTGAAATAGCCATAGCGTCATCAGTCAATCGTCCTGTTAAATAATAAACCTTTTAATTCGCAATGCAGCCTTCATTGAATCAGCTACTGTAGAATCCGTATTTCTCGAAAAGGTGGTTTTTAAAAATTTAATTCTCCATAATTAGGACCAAAACCAACTTCCCGTCACCGGTAAAACACTGTGATTTTATCACCGATTTGCCAAACCTTCGGATGATTCGAAACAATTTGCTTTTCCCAAGGTGGTTCGAAAAACTGGGATTTCATGGTGTCGGTCTACGGTTTCCTTTGAAGAGTCGTCGAGTTAAACCCCCAATTTTACTTGTTTCTTTCTTTCTTCCTTTTATTCTTTTACTCAGAGCCAAATGCTCCTCCATTTAATGTCCAAGGACACAACACAAGTTCTTCTAGTATTTTGGTTCAGTGGGGTGATGTACCCGCAGCTGCTCAAAATGGCATTATACTGCGCTACACAGTTACCTACACATCGCTTCCTGGTGGTAGTACACGGACCAAGGTGGTGAATTCTCCAACAACTAAGGCGATTCTGACCGGACTCAACAAATACACCAACTACAGCATAACAGTGTCTGCTTCAACTTCAAAAGGAGATGGAAATGTTAGTGAGCCAATCGTTGTCGTCACGGACGAGAGCAGTAAGTTTATTTTCGTTTGTAAATACGAAGAGAAAAAAATTGACACCCTGCACGGCCTAATTATTAACTCATAATTGTTAAACTTAATTAACTTAACTAATTAAACTTAATTAAATACCTTCCACCTATTTTGAAAAGCCTGGGCGTTGTCTACGATTAAGTAAACAGCACCTATTGACACAAGAATCATGCATTTTAGTAAAAATCTCCCTAATAATCTTTTTAATCAGGATGAAATGTAACATAATTTTAGTTAGCCACTCGGAACGTCTCTCAGTTCAATTTATGACAGAAGAGTAGTATCATCAGCGAAGAGAAAAATATGTACTTTCTTAGACGATTTATGAATATCACTGATGGTCATCGAAAATAAAATAGCTCCCAATACAGATTCCTGAGAGACTCTACAGAGATTTAGTTTCTTTTGATAAGGAGTGCTCGCCAATTTGGGTTACTTGAGATCGACCTTTCAGATAAAAAGAGAACCAATCTAATATAATACCCCTGATTCCATAGTGATTTAGCTGCAGAATAATAGCTTGCATGATCAACTGTGTCAAATGCATTTTTAAGATCGATAAAAATTCCACAAGAAAACATTCCTTTGTCCTTACTGTTTTGAATCCTTTTTACTATGTCAATTATTGAACACTGTGTACAGTGTTTCTGTCTAATGCCCTACTGTGACTCATAAGAAAGATCATTTGCCTCAAAAAACGACTTCAGACGTTTGTACATGCGTTTTTCAAAAATTCTCTTAACATAAAGAGAGGGGATATAGGACGATAATTGCTAGGGTCTGAATCATCACCACTCTTAAAAATAGGAACCGCCCTTGTCAGATTCAATTTTTTAGGGAAGGCTCCCACGAGGATAGAAGCATTCGTTATTTCCATAAGTGGTATACTTTTAAAAACGTTTTGCAACTTTTAAGATAATTGTAGGGCAAGAATAAGCCCCATGTGCTTTCCCGATAGGCAAAAGCAATATTTCGAATTCCATTTCGGCAGGAGTAACAGGAGTAAAGTAAAAGAATTTTTGACAAACATGTTCAAAATATTCCGCAAATGACGTTCAGAGTGAGGTAGCTTGGCAGCTAAAACAGCTCCACGTGACGCGAAATAATTGTTCGCGACGGTTAGTAATTTCTGCGAATCGTGAATTAATGGATCGCTATTTTCATCCTTTGAAGTTCACTTTTACATTTTGGCTGCGTCTTAGGAGCGTTTTGCTATTATGGTATTCGCGTTCTCCTTCCGAGAGAAAGGTTTATAATTTACAACAGTTATACAAAGTTCTTTCCAAGAGCTATTTTTGCCCTGAATTTCAAATTGAGTATCACAAAAATTTATGCTTAACCGACAGCGACATTTTTGTCCTTATAGTTAAAATGCAACAGCGTCATTTTTCCTAACCGGCCAAGGGTCTTGCAGTCTCACAAAAGACCAACGACGTACGTTCCAAGGGTGATGCAAAGATCGACAACATTACAAACCTCGGTTATGCGACCCTACAATATAAATACATTCTCCAGCAAAAAGGGAAGATAAGAATAGGTAAATGTATTTGCCAGATAATGTTATCTTGATGTAACCTCAAGTTCTCTAAACTAATTTTACGGGAAATGTAGAGCAGCCTGGAGAGAAATGAGAATAACTTATCAGATTTACTGTTACAATTACCCTTTTTTGCAGAACCTTCCGCCGCTCCTTTACTGAACAGTGTGACTGTATTGAATAGCACCAGTGTACTGGTGGGATGGGAACGCGTCCCGAAGGAGTATAGAAATGGCATCATTACTAAGTACACCACATACTATAGGGACGAACTGAAGAAGGCAGAAGGGACAAGGGTCGTCATACCACCTAATAAAACGATAATCATCAATGGACTGAGACAAAAGGCTGAATATTTATTTTGGATTTTGGCTGCAACTTCGAAAGGGAATGGCCCACCCAGCAACACGATAAGGGCAACAACGGATGGTAAGGAGATTTGAAAATGCTACTCTTCCATACTTAATCATGAACAATCGGTTTTTTATTTTTTTTCTCTTGGATTGGCAGTTTTAAAGAACTGTATATCGGATACGATGGAATCACCTCAGTGGCGAACGACAAAAGCCAATTTGTACCAAATGATTAACTTATCGTTAAATGTTCATTATATCTGCACCGAAAAGTATATAACTAATAAGCAGCCCCATGCCCTTTTCATCCATAAGGATTAGTTTGGATAGCTTTTCTGAATCTCAAGTTTTATGTCATTCTGTCCACTTACTAGATACATTTATGGGTTATGCCTATTCTGGGAACTGTAGAAATTTTAAAGTAGGCCCATGCTTGTTTACTATTCACAAAACGTTTCCGGAATATCCTGTTGGAAAGTAAATGTAACACGATCTTTTGGGTCGTTCCAGCGGAAAATTCCCGGGAGCAACGGAACACCTGAAAAGGTAGTCCTGTTTTTCCGGACGTAATATTCCACACGGAAATTTGTGTTCCATTTGCTCAAAGCCATGTTTGATACCAGTTTCAGGCTTTGGTGACCGTTTTTTCGGTCAATGGAACTGATTTCATGGTAAATGCGACTTCCGCGATGAAATTTACCAATTCTGAATTTTGCCCACCATTTGCCGTGAACCGTCCGCTTTGCCCACGTAAATGGTAAACAGCCCATATTCCTACCAAAGGCGCTGGAATGAAATCAGTAAAAATCGTTTCTTGCAGCCGTGCCCACGATTTTGCCACCTTTTGAAGAAGCCATTGGTGCAATTCAAGTGTCCATCAAATTTGTCAACAAGCACTCCTTGAGTACTGGAAGTCCTGTGAAGTATGTACATGTCTCTGTGAGGTGCTTTTAAAGTTGCTGTTTATTTCTCTCCCTTTTTTGTTTTCATCCTATAGCTTTAAGAAATGGTTAGTAAGTATTATTTATATTAGATGCCGAATTCTCCAAAGAAAAGTGCGAGTCAAACCTTAGCCTGAGCTAGTGGACTCCGGGTCCTGACTCAATTAAGTTCGTCTGAATGAGCCTGGGTAGTCCAACATGTTCTCTCCGTCTGCTTCAGACGAATAGAACGTCTGAAGATCTTCCCGGGGACAAACGTCGATCTTCACATGCGACGAACTAAAATAACAAATTAAATTTGTGTGAGTACATTATTATTTTAGCCTCGTTGGGGGGAAAATTTATTAAAACTGCTTATGGTCTGATTCAGTTGATTGGTTTGGCGCGTCCTAAGTTCGACGTCTTACCCCAAGCAGACAATATTGACTTAACTCAGGTGGACCCAAATTAGAGTTTGGTTCGTCTCATGAAATGTTGTGGGTTTGGCCTAGGCCTTAGAGTTCCTTTTGACAAAGTTATGGGGAAAAATAGTTTTCTTTATGTAACTGAATAATTTTGTCATGTCGCTATCAGATATTTCCGAATGATTGTTATTACGCTACCGAAAGGAGCAGAGCCAGGAAATCCAGCAGACGAGAAGTACCAAAACGTTACTCGCGTGTATGATGACCAATTGGATGGCAAGCCTTACATCACTGCTGAGTTTGAAAGAGAGGAATCAAGAACGACATTTACTGTTGGGGATGGGAAGTATTACTCACGGAGTGGTGTAACTGACGCTAAGAGAAAACGTACATCTACCTCATGTAAGTTGGCAATAAGTACGCGGATACGGGCAACTCTTCTTCTAAACGTCTTACAACCGTTCCGAAACACCACTGACCGAATTCACAAAACAAAAAACATGAAACAACAATATTAAAACCAACAATAAGACAATATTACATGGTTTGCAGTGTAGTAGAAATCATATTAATTTCCCAATTATGATTTCCCTTCAAATCCCGTTGACAACTGTGAGGATCATTCTTCATTTGAAGGGAGTTAATGTTATACTTAAAGGAGTTTTTCATCAGATATACAACGTCGTCAATGTCGTCAGTGTTTGTTTTAATTTATTTTTGAATTATCAATGCCCTTTGCCTAATTATATCTTTGAAATATATGAGCATTCGAAAATTAGTCATCGGCTGATATTAATGGTTTTAGATGTTACTAAGTACCTGAATGGAAAGCTAAAGGAGAAGACGGAGTACGGGGTGTTTCAGAGATCTTTTGACAAAGATGGCAACTATGAAAACGAGGGATTCATTCAATTTGCGACGAAAAGTAAGTTATGTTGGTTGGTTTGTTTGCTGCAGACATGTTATTCTTGCATGAGTTTTCTTTAACATACTATGAGCAAATTACCGTCTTTCGAATTTATTTCGAAAACCTCGTGTTAACCCTCGAAGGCAGAGGCAAATTTAAACCCAATCTCCCCAACCTCCGTTTTTGCTGTGTTACAAGGGAGACTGAGAATTGACGTTTGCGGCAAACGGCAAACATCATATTCAACTTCACGCTTTTTAAAAGTATGGAAATACTGCAGCAAATTAAAATAGCCGAAATTAAAAAATAATAATCATGGAAGAGTCTATTGCCACGAAACAGCTTCTTTTTCTGGAGATATTGGTAGTAGTAAACGGCAATTGAAATGAACATTTGATCATGTGGGTCAAATTCAAGTTTTCTGTTTAATTCTACAGCTATCGTGGTCGACAGCCTGCAATGAGCTCTACGCAAAGATGTAAAAATTATATCATGCGCAGCTGATCGGGAGCTGTAACATTGGTCAATAAAAGAGACCAATAGCGGATTTCTATAAAGATTCAAAATTATGCAGAAATAGTTAGACAATAAGCAGTTATTCATGCTCACGTTAAATATATATAGCTCTCTGCGCGCTTCTCCACTTTTCGTACTTTCTACGCCCGAGAGACACATCTTGCAATATTAAGATATAGTCGAAAAATAAATATCCCAATAGAGTGGAGAAGTCATTACGTTGTGTTGCCATGGTATCAAAATATCCGGATCTCAACAAATCGTGATCCTGCAAATATGTCAGAAAAAAAGAAGAAGAATGACATGTATGACTTTTCAATGCATGATTTCACTCAGGAACAAAACGGTAGCCCATACTATTCTTCCATCGTTCGACACTGCAAATGGTCATCTTTACGAAGAAAGGTTGTTGAGATCCAGAATACCATGATAATATGACGTCACACTTCTCCTCTCTAAGGCACCCAAAAAATAGTGAGGTTGACTGAAAAAAGAAATATCCTACCAAAGAAAAAGACATGGGAATACGAGCTTGCAAGGACATGATGCATGAGCAAGTGGAGCGGACATAATTACTTCTGATCATCTTTCCTGTCGATGGAAGTCTTTCAAGAGATTACCATATTTTACTATACTAGAGAAGTAACTTTTTGGTTTTAATGTTCCCTTTAAAGGTGGTTGCATACTGTAGGTGTCAATATGTTTGCCCAACCCGTTCTTTAGTTTCATGAGCATCGTCCTGCATTCCTTGGCAACCAATCAGGGTTGAAGAGGGTTCATAGCGTCTATGATATGCATGATATTGCGCGTAATATGACACATCTACGAACTTTGTTGAACTGGAAGTAAACGTCCCTAGAACAATATGCATTCTGCACGATGCTTTCTCTTTTCTATCCTATTACTTTGTCCTCTTTCAGTTAGCTGTTACTTGTTTTAAATATTGGTCTGCTTGTTTGTGAATTTCAGAAGAGAATGATTCTGAATCGTCGTCCAAGCCTTCAACAGTTATCATAGTGTCCGTAGTGATAGTCCTGGTGATTCTTCTGTTAGTGGGTGTTGTGATTATTGTTTGGCGTTATCGAAGATCCTTTAATGGTATGTTTGATTTAATTTTCATGACATTTCTTTATATAAGCTGTCATATTCATGTGGGTGAACTTACTTACCAGTTCCTGTTTTATATTACGACAGAAAGTACATGTTGTCCTAAGAGAACAAAAGATAAATTAAGTCAAGAAAACATAGAAATGTCCGACAACAGCCAGCTATCGACGTCAGGATGTTACTACAACTCTATTCAGCTACATGACGAGCTACGCTCTGTTGAAAGACGAGCAAAAACATGCCAGGACACCTATGAAGACGTACTTTCTGACGAGCCTACTTACTACACTGACGTTAATCCAGATCAAGAGAGAATTTATCAAGAAATTAAGAATGAAAATCATTATCAGCCGTTAGATTTTAATAGACAAGCAGTTTATGAAAAGAGTCAAGGGTCAAGTAAGATTTTCATGTAAAAAATTTCGTACAATAAGCGTTAAAAAGGAGAGGCTACGTAGGTGATGCTCTGAGAAATAATTGTACATAAAACACGAGAAAGAGTGTTTCAAACGATATGCAAAAGATTGTAATTTCGGCTCTACATATATACACCTATATACTTGTACCAGAAGTACAATGCTTTACCAACTGAAGGTTTAACTAGGAATTTTATTCCCCGCGAAGTGAGGGCCTTAATGTTCTCGCGTAGAGAATTAAAAGGAAGCTTAAGCAACAACGACGGCTACAAAAACGACACTTAAAAAGTGAACTCGCACTGCTTCAAATTTTATCTCGTTTATTCCATCGCCTTAAATTTGACACATGTTGGCGAATTCAGCTGGAGTGGAATTCTAAAGGGCTTTATCGAAGTTCAGGAAAAGAAAACGAAGATCGTTGTCTTGCATCCACGTCATCCCCAAAAGATGAAAATATACACACAGTTTCATGTCGAAGAAATGTACAGAGACAAATATATTTGCGTGTGCAATGTTGTTGTTTGCTAATCTAAACTTATTTCTGGTTTGACGTTCTCGTTACCGTCGCCGCCGGCGTCTTTGCTTAAGCTTCCTAGTAATTTTATCGAAATTCGCAACGTGCGTGACTCCTGCGAGGATTGCTAAGCGAAGTTTGGTGTTGCTTTGGTCATGTATATTCCTATCGGTTCGGTATCCAAAGTAGTCAGCCTAATAACAGATCAGCGAGAAACTAAAACAGGCACAAACCTGGCCGGCCGTTTTAAACATCGATGAATTTCGAAAGCAGAAGTACCTTTAGGCAGAGTTTTTTTTCCCTGCTTCCTACGACCTGGGCCCGGGGAGGGGGGGGGGGAGCTTGGGGGTCCCTCCTCTATTACTTCAAAACCGTTCATTCTACGGCCACCAAAAGTGCACACAATAATGTGCTAATCATTTCTCATTATTTTCATATTGCTGAATTTATTGACAGAAACCACATTTCCCTCAAGTAGGCATAAAGCGAAAAATACGTAAGTTGTAAGGACTCCGATAAAATCAAGGAAGTTGGGTAACACGTAACACAATAACTAACAAACTCGGTTGCCATGGTAGCATCAATGTTGACGTACACTTAACGACGACGTTAAAATGTTCCCAGATAAATTTTAGAAAAATCCGCTAATTCTGGTGGTCCTAGCTTGAACGGCTTTGAAGTTAGTCAACTTTAGAGGAAGGAGGGCCTCAAAAGCTGCCCCCCGGTCCTGATAGAATTTAAGAGATAATGAAAGAGATTTGGGCCGTTAACTTTAAAATATGAGCAAAAATAGTGGTACGAAAACACATGTTTTCTGTCCCAATTCGTAAGACGTGTTACTGTGTCGGCTTTTGTTGGCATATGCTAATTTAAAAGGTAAAGGCTTGAAATAATATATTAATAACAAATTTTAACCTCTCGTAGCCCAGTGGTAAATAATTGCCCCAACAAACAGTATTCTTGGAAGAGCATATTTTCTGTTTGTTTCCTTTTCTTTACATTAGTCTTGTTTTTTACTATTTTGTTATAGAGCTTTGCTTTAATTGGCTTCTTTCCCTTTATCACGTATTTCTAGTTTACTCCAGTTTACAATTTCGTACTACACAACTGGTGCAGTATTCTTCAGATAAATAACAAAATAGCCTGTAAAAAAACAGACCTTCCGGCTGGTGTCAGTGGAATGAGATTTGCCTCCACCACTGTCAGACATATGAGCCTTTTTATCGTTTTCTTTATTGTGTGATTTCACTGACTATTAAGTGGAAATACGAATAGGCCCTAGATCTCACAGATATTGGCTCGAGAAATTGAAACATCACGAAAGAAGGGTTAGAATTACAAGAGTTCATACATAATTAATGTCAGTGCAAGTTTGACAGGTATAATAAGATTTTTACAATGACACTTGCGCTGACGCCGTAGAAATAGGCGAGGCGTAAGTATGCATGTACTCTGAGACCTAAATATGTATAAAGCACCAGAAAGAGAATGGCTAACGATGGGCAAACCGTAACAAGTGGTTTGTAAAAGAGGCGCAGTAATTTTTCTTAAAACCTATTTCAAGGTTTTTGCAGGTGTATGGTGCAGTCTGCTAGCATATATTAACAATGGACACCTCTATTAGGCTAACAAGGCACCCTAGTCAATAGTATTTTTACAACTTATAACCCTGCCTTTAAGCTTGAATTGTACTTTGACATATTGGATGTATTTTTATTAGTACCCGCTTCTGATGACAATGAGACTTCGGTTTGTTACGTTATCTACTACTTCCGAAATGTATGAACGATATTCAGAACCTTATTCAGACCAGTCTTGTTTGTTTTATAGACGGAAAAGGGCAAACGCAGCTGCGGAAGCAAGATAGCACAGTGCTACCAGAGTTTCTTATTAACAAACCTGGTCATCACTGCAAGAGCGGAGACCACTAACTGATCTTTTACTTTTTTATATTATTTTAAAGTATAATTCAGCTGCTTTGCACCTTCCTGATGAGTTATATCTCCTGTACCAGGAAGTTACCTTTACCCGCTTGTGTTTATGCCTACAAGTACTCCTTTTTTGCCCCATGACACACCTGGGTGAAACATTATACTCCATCTACTGCTGTTATCGCTCCGTCTTTGCCAGTTTTAAAGTCTGTCATCACCTACTGCATAGCTTATTATATCACCCATTGCCACATTAGGCCTACCTTTTACATGAAATTTTTGCTACACTTTAATTCAGCGAATTTAGCGATTTTTTTTTAAAGGCGCTGAATTAAAATGTACCAAAATTAAGTGTCACTAAATTTAAATCGTCGATAAATTAAAGTGAATGCAATATGAAATTCCGCCATCGGGTCAGTTTCACACTTATGCCATTTGACGTATCATTAATCTTATTAATCGCTGCCAATCAGAGTTCTGTAAGGGTTTGGCATCCCGTTCGATGTTTTTCGTTCTAGAATTGTAATGGTAGTGCACAGTAATTTTTAGGGAGTTATTATAACTCCAATTATTAGGAGTTATTATCACTCCTAATTTAGGAAAATTTGCAACGTCACTCAGGCATTATTTCATTATTGCCTCCATAAACCACTACAACTCATGCTATTACCTAAAATAATGCCTTGGCACATTTTCTTTTATTGCTATTTTTATGACCTATAACACTGTCTGGTAAAAATGGTCTCTAACATTGCTACCTTCGAAAGTGCATTACCAGATGTATTACTCCGATGGGCTTTTATCCATTTTATTTTACATCATTTCAACCTGTAATAATTGCATAAACAACTGGGAGCCCAAAATAACGCATACTTGTTTAATAAACAATCAGTACCGCGTCAGTGCACATGTTTGCACTCTTTTCATACCCATGCATTGAAATTCTCAGCCACACCTTGCTCGATGTCTATGTCCCCCGACATTTTACGGCAAAATGCCTGACAATTATAGCTTTTTGGTGTTTCATACAGTTAATGCGTAACTTGTAAAAGTGTTTCTTGCTCACGTATTACGCTGGCTTTACGCTTGACCTTTTCTTCGGCATGGCACATTTGCCTAAAATCATTGTTCGAATTTATATAGCCGCGTGAAATCAATAAATTGAAAAGAATTATCGAAATTGACCCGTTAAGACATGCGAATGAGACAAGAAAGATGTCTACTCGTCTGGCGATGGCTGTTAAAATTCTTCTACTATTGGCTGCCATACTCTTCACTTGGACACAAGGAGCCGGTTAGTCGATTGTGTTTTGATTATACTCTCGTTGTTTCAAAGTAAAAATGAAGCCGGTGTAACGGTGTTTTCTCGCTGATCCACGCCCACCCGGCTTACTTAAGATAAACCAAGTTCAGCGTGTATAGAAACTCACAGTTTGCATTTTTCTCTGAAATGAGTAAATACGTATACATGTTAGTTACAGATTGCTGGTTGTTACATATGCTGCACTCCGTCGCTATTTTCAAGCTGTTTTCAACGCGCTTCCGGGACAGACATGGAACCTCTGTCTGTTTCATGAATCACCATTGAAAAATGATAACACTGACCTGGTTTCAAGAAAGAGAGCCCAAAAAACGAATTGAATAAATATATATGTTTAGTACATCATCCGCAAATTCTTCCAATGGACGTTCATGAAACGTTGCTCAAGCTTATTGTAGCTGTTACTGATCACCATTACCACATCATTCACGCGCAAGAGAGTATTTATTTAATTGAGTGTGCTTCAATAACCTCAGTGTCGCTAATTATGTATTATTTTCACTGCCTTGGTAATCACTTTTTCGTGTCTCGAGCACCATACCCTGTCTGCACACATAGGGGAACTTGGTTTCATCGGAATTTGTAAGAGATCAGCTGTTCCATTTATGTGATTGAACGTAGATTTGTTTTACCAGCTGCCTCATTGTCACAATTTGCATGGTCTTCCATGACTTCCATCAGGCTTCCTGGTGAGCATGAGAGGGTAAAGGGGTTAATGATGCTGTATTTTGCTTTCCTTAAATTTTGCGATATGATTTAGTAAAGCTGCACCTTTACCCTCGAACGGATCCTTTCATTTGACGGCTCCGTATATGTCAGAACCAGTGGTCTCGAGTTAAGACTTAAAATAAGTTGGAATCTGGACAACCCGTTCAGGTTGCATCCATTATAGTATTGAGTACAGGATTCTCGCCATTTCTTAGCGATGGCAGATTTAGGGTGGAATCATTTGCAGCATATAGCGAAACGACTATACGCGTATACTGCAAAAATCCACTCTTAATTAAATTAGCTTACATTTATCGCATGCCATAGTCAAAATTCTGTTAAGCCTACATTGAGTTGAATCTTCAGCAATGAGACGTGTAAACTTGGTTATCAAAATAAAAGTCGGCAAACACATTAATAGCCTTTAGCTGATAACAGTGATGTCATGACACGTCATTCATTGTTATAAATCGGTCTGGAACCATCCGCCATTTTGAATTAATGAAATGTAGTTCCATTTTACTTAAATTGATCTGTGTATAAAAGGATGCTTAGAAGGCCAAAAGAATCCTCAAGTTATGAAATTCCGAGATAAATTATCATTGTTGAAAACTGAACCCAGCATCTGCCATTTGATCGTTCTTAATTCCGGTTTTTTTTTTAATCTTACTGATCAGTCACCAAAAAGTCTGGATTACATCAACAGTTGTACTAAATTCAGTGGAATATTGCTAAATTAAATGTAACACTAACATTCAATTTTTAGCGAGGTGGTACTCTTAAGGCCTTAGTAGGTTCAAGCGGAGCACCAAGGGTAAGAAAAAATGATAAACTATAGATTCAAGAAATTTTGGTAAACACGTGACCGTCTGTACATCCGTCCACCGAATACATGCACATGTAAGACAATGTCATTGTCAATGTCAATTTACTCCCAGCGCTATACTAAGACACCGAAAATGACAATAGCCTGTCAGTTACATTGGCCATCCATATGACAAAATCAATTGCCAGTTGTGGAAAACGAGTCTTTTTCTTTTTCTTTTTTATATTATTGAAGAATAAAACAATTATAACAGAATTCGGCTTTTGTACAATATAAAGAATTTTGCGAATTGAAGCGTGTAACACCATCCACTCCCTGAATAACTTTTTTATATCCTATTCAGTCTCATTCAATAATTTTTAAATACCATGTATTTCATACGTCATACACTTTTCAGCGAATAGATTCAAAGATCCACTTTTGTTTCAATTTCACTTCCAGAAGATTTTCCACTTCTTTATATTACCCACATTAATTAAAAGTCTTACTATTGCTTTCAGTCTACATGGTATGTATGAGCTGCGCATATGTGAACGGATCGATTGATTAGTTGGTAAATAATTGCCCCAACAAACAGTATTCTTGGAAGAGCTTATTTTCTGTTTGTTTCCTTTTCTTTACATTAGTCTTGTTTTTTACTATTTTGTTATAGAGCTTTGCTTTAATTGGCTTCTTTCCCTTTATCACTACTTTTTGCCGTTAGCCCAACTAGTGCTTCTCAAGGTTCTGCAACTCACGTATTTCTAGTTTACTCCAGTTTACAGTTTCGTACTACACAACTGGTGCAGTACTCTTCTGATAAATAACAAAATAGCCCGTAAAAAAAACAGACCTTCCGGTGGGGGTCAGTGGAATGAGATTTGCCTCCACCACTGTCAGACATATGAGCCTTTTTATCGTTTTCTTTATTGTGTGATTTCACTGACCATTAAGTGGAAATACGAATAGGCCCTAAATCTCACAGATATTGGCTCGAGAAATTGAAACATCACGAAAGAAGGGTTAGAATTACCAGAGTTCATACATAATTAATGTACATGCAAGTTTGACAGGTATGATAAGATTTTTACAATGAGACTTGCCCTAACGCCGTAGAAATAGGCGAGAAGTAAGTATACATGTACGCTGAGACCTAAATATGTATAAAGCACCAGAAAGAGAATGGCAAACGATGGGCAAACCCTAAGAAGTGGTTTGTAAAAGAGGCGCAGTAATTTTTCTTAAAACCTATTTCAAGGTTTTTACAGGTGTATAGTGCAGTCTACTCGCATATATTAACAATGGACACCTCTATTAGGCTAACAAGGCACCCTAGTCAATAGTATTTTTACAACTTATAACCCTGCCTTTAAGCTTGAATTGTACTTTGACATATTGGATGTATTTTTATTAGTACCCGCTTCTGATGACAATAAAACTTCGGTTTGTTACGTTATCGACTACTTCCGAAATGTATGAACGATATTCAGAACCTTATTCAGACCGGTCTTGTTTGTTTTATAGACGGAAAAGGGCAAACGCAGCTGCGGAAGCAAGATAGCACAGTGCTACCAGAGTTTCTTATTAACAAACCTGGTCATCACTGCAAGAGCGGAGACCACTAACTGGTCTTTTACTTTTGTATATTATTCTAAAGTATAATTTAGCTGCTTTGCATCTTCCTGATGAGTTATATCTCCTGTACCAGGAAGTTACCTTTACCCGCTTGTGTTTATGCCTACAAGTACTCCTTTTTTGCCCCATACACACCTGGGTGAAACGTTATATTCCATCTACTGCTGTTATCGCTCCGTCTTTGCCAGTTTTAAAGTCTACAGCCAAAACTTATCTAGCTGTCATCACCTACTGCATAGCTTATTATATCACCCATTGCCACATTAGGCCTACCTTATTACATGAAATTTTCGCTACACTTTAATTCAGCGAATTTAGCGATTTTTTTAAAGGTGCTGAATTAAAATGCACCAAAATTAAGTGTCACTAAATTTAAATCGTCGATAAATTAAAGTGAATGCAATATGAAATTCCGCCATCTGGTCAGTTTCACACTTATGCCATTTGACGTATCATTAATCTTATTAATCGCTGCCAATCAGAGTTCTATAAGGGTTTGGCATCCCGTTCGATGTTTTTCGTTCTAGAATTGTAATGGTAGTGCACAGTAATTTTTAGGGAGTTATTATAACTCCAATTATTAGGAGTTATTATCACTCCTAATTTAGGAAAATTTGCAACGTCACTCAGGCATTATTTCATTATTGCCTCCATAAACCACAACAACTCATGCTATTACCTAAAATAATGCCTTGGGACATTTTCTTTTATTGCTATTTTTATGACCTATAACGCTGTCTGGCAAAAATGGTCTCTAACATTTCTACCTTCGAAAGTGCATTACCAGATGCATTACTCCGATAGGCTTTTATCCATTTTATTTGACATCATTTCAACATGTTATAATTGCATAAACAACTGGGAGCCCAAAATAACGCATACTTGTTTAATAAACAATCAGTACCGCGTCAGTGCACATGTTTGCACTCTTTTCATACCCATGCATTGAAATTCTCAGCCACATCGTGCTCGATGTCCCCTGACATTTTACGGCAAAATGCCTGACAATTATAGCTTTTTGGTGTTTCATACAGTTAATACGTAACTTGTAAAAGTGTTTCTTGCTCACGTATTACGCTGGCTTTACGCTTGACCTTTTCTTCGGCATGGCACATTTGCCTAAAATCATTGTTCGAATTTACATAGCCGCGTGAAATCAATAAATTGAAAAGAATTATCGAAATTGACCCGTTAAGACATGCGAATGAGACAAGAAAGATGTCTACTCGTCTAGCGATGGCTGTTAAAATTCTTCTACTATTGGCTGCCATACTCTTCACTTGGACACAAGGAGCCGGTTAGTCGATTGTGTTTTGATTGTACTCTCGTTGTTTCAAAGTAAAAATGAGGCCGGTGTAACGGTGTTTTCTCGCTGATCCACGCCCAGACCGGCCTACATAAGATAAACCAAGTTCAGCGTGTATAGAAACTCACAGTTTGCATTTTTCTCTGAAATGAGTAAATACGTATACATGTTAGTTACAGGTTGCTGGTTGTTACATATGCTGCACTCTCTCGCTATTTTCAAGCTGTTTTCAACGCGCTTCCGGGACAGACGTGGAACCTCTGTCTGTTTCATGAATCACCATTGAAAAATGATCTGACCTGGTTTCAAGAAAGAGAGCCCAAAAAACGAATTGAATAAATATATATGTTTAGTACATCATCCGCAAATTCTTCCAATGGACGTTCATGAAACGTTACTTAAGCTTATTGTAGCTGTTACTGATCACCATTACCACATCATTCACGCACAAGAGAGTATTTATTTAATTGAGTGTGCTTCAATAACCTCAGTGTCGCTAATTATGCATTATTTTCACTGCCTTGGTAATGACGTTTTCGTGTCTCAAGCACCATACCCTGTCTGCACGCATAGGGGAACTTGGTTTCATCGGAATTTGTAAAAGATCAGCTATTCCATTTATGTGATTGAACGTAGATTTGTTTTACCAGCAGCCTCATTGTCACAATTTGCATGGTCTTCCATGACTTCCATCAGACTTCCTGGTGAGCAAGAGAGGGTAAAGGGACTAATTATTCTGCATTTTGCTTTCCTTTAATTTTGCGATATGATTTAGTAAACCTTTACCCTCGAACGGATCCTCTCATTTGACTGCTCCGTATATGTGAGAACCAGTGGTCTCGACTTAAGACTGAAAATAAGTTAGAATCTGGACAACCCGTTCAGGTTGCTTCCAGTATAGTATTGAGTACAGGATTCTCGCCACTTCCCAGCGATGGCAGATTTAGGGTGGAATCATTTGAAGCATATAGCGCAACGACTATACGCGTATGCTGCAAAAATCCACTCTTAAATTACATTAGCTTACATTTATCGCATGCTATCGTCAAAATTCTGTTAAGCCTACATTGAGTTCAAGCTTCAGCAATGAGACTAGCCTGTTCCAGGCGTTCAGATAGTGGGGAGCGAGGCGAAGTAAAAAGGAGCGCGAAAAAATAAAAGCGAGGGAGCAGAGGTGAGAGAGGGAACCTCCAGTCTCCCTCTACTTTTCATCGCTTTCTTTACTTCGCACCGCTCTCCACACTCTGAACGCTTGGAAAAGGCTACGATGAAACGTGTAAACTTATCAAAATATTTAAAAGTTGGCAAACACATTAATAGTCTTTAGCTGACAACGGTGATGTCATGACACGTCATTCATTGTTATGAATGGTCTGGAACCATCCGCCATTTTGAATGAATGAAATGTAGTTCCATTTTAGTTAAATTGATCTGTGTATGAAAGGATTGCTTAAAAGGCCAAAAGAATCCTCCAGTTATGAAATTTCCTAGAGAAATTATCACTGTTGAAAACTGAACCCAGCATCTGCCATTTGGTCATTCTTAATTCAGGCTTTTTTTTGTCTCACTGATCAGATCAAAAAGTCTGGATTACATCGACAGTTGTACTAAAGTTAATGGAATATTGCTAAATTAAATGTTATACTAAAATTCAATTTTTAGCGAGGTGGGACTCTCAAGGTCTTAGTAGGTTCAAGCTGAGCACCAAGGGTAAGAAAAAATGGTAAACTATAGATTCAAGAAATTTTGGTAAACACGTGACCGTCTGTACATCCGTCCACCGAATACATGCACATGAAAGCCAATGTCATTGTCAATGTCAATTTACTCCCAGCGGTATACTAAGACACGGAAAATGACAATAGCCTGTCAGTTACATTGGCCATCCATATGACAAAATCAATTGCCAGTTGCGGAAGACGAGTCTTTTTTTCGACTGAATTTCAATATATACTCTTACGTGGATAACAGACAAAGAGCTAGACCGAAAAAGATTACGAATTTCTTTTTAAGAGAAACGTGAACATATTATAGCGGCGGTGGGAAAATGTGAAATGCTAGTGGCCAGCAAGGTGAAAATGAGGGGAACTGAAAGAATGTTAACTGAGTAACAGATTCAGCACTTTCTCCATAAAACGTGTAACTAGGACGTTTCACGTTGTAGTCGTATAAAACAAAGTCAATTACATGTGCCAAGTGCACATGCAAAGTTGATTTTTTTGCTAATTACCATTTAATGTAATTCTTACGACTGGACCCCTAACTTCCACTGTAAAACTAGACTTCATCAGTTTGAATAGGCCATCTTCTAGTTACAAAAATCCCACTTTCAAAACGAGGCTAAGTGCAAAACCCTCGTTGTGAAAATGAGTTTTATGTGCACGAGAATAAAAAATTCATTTCCATGTCAATAGCTTCGCACCTAGCCTCGCTTTGAGACAAAAGGACAATTCGGAAATAGCCTTGGCTATTTTTTGTCTTTGAAGTCTTTGCTGAAAGTTGACTGATTCTTTTTTTCTCGGAGAGATCTCGTATTTCGTGCGTCATAGTTGAAATTTAGAGGGAAACATGAATTTATATAATTATTGTGAACTTTGCATTTTGCTTAAGAACTAAATTTTTATAAAGCTTAGTTTCTCTTTTAAGGGCTTTGGAAGTATTTTGAAGAATGAAACAATTATAATAGAATTCGGCTTTTGTACAATATAACTCACAATTTTGCAAACAGCGTGTAACACCATCCACGCCCTGAATAATTTTTTTATATCCTATTCAGTCTCATTCAATAATCTTAAAATACCATGTATTTCATACGTCAGACACTTTTAAGCGAATAGAATCAAAGATCCACTTTTGTTCTAATTTCACTTCCAGAAGATTTTCCACTTCTTCATATTATCCGCATTAATTAAAAGTCTTACTATTGCTTACAGTCTACATGATATGTATGAGCTACGCATATGTGAACGGATCGATTAATTAGTTGAGACTAACATTACAAGGCGTAAAACAAGACCTGTATCAGAAGTATTAATAACAAGCGAATATTCAGTTTTTAATCTTAATATATAGTCTTTGTTATTTCAAATCAGGTGCACAGAGGACTACTTGGTATAAGCCTCCTCCAGTTGAGACGGTTACAGATCCCTATATGGTTCACACAAGCTACATACAGCTTTATGAAGGGTCCACTAATCAACCATTGAACTGGAGTTTTAGTCTCGAACTGGACATTCTATTGTTTGTGACTTTAAGTTTCGACGGTTCTTTCATAGCCACCATAGATCCTTCAACTGGAAGTTTTTCAGTAAACCAAGGCTTCACCTCTAGAGTAAATGTAACCTGGGTTAATGGAAATGTCACTCTGATTATCTTTAATGTAACGTCTGCCGATGAAGGAGTATATAGCTGTGAGTTAACTGGTTCTAATTCATGGACACGTAACATTCGAGTGGCTACCGTAGGTAACTTAATTCACACATTGTACATCGAATATTTTACTCTGGTAGAAGTTTAAGGCGTCCAATTTCATGCGGGTGCCCACAGGATACCAAATACAGCAGATAAGGTCCTGTTGACGACCCTTATTGTTGAATAGAAGGAGAGAAAAATGGGAGGGCAAAAATGAAGGATAAATATATATGAATCTTGATTTTAAATTATTTTTAAAAGGCTGAACTTCTTTAGTTGCAGTACAATTATACATACTGAATCTGTGCAGAAAGCCGCGATTCACTCTCTCTCTCTAATGGCGAAAATGAATGTAATGAGTTTCCGTAGGATTGTGAATTGTTTATTTTGGCTTACAGATATCTGCCCTTGTGGACTGAATGGCATGAATTATCCTTCAGTTTATCTTTTTTTACGTTAATGTTATGATTTGTAAACTTTTTTTCCTCGTATGATTTACTCTCCTATTTCATTGTTTTTAAGATATTGATTTCTTTTGACGTCTTAGTAATTTAGCAAATTTTGTTAAGGTGAACAGAGCACTGTCACTATAGTTTTTTTAAAATCAGAAACAACTGATGTCTTTCTCGTAAGGTATAACTATATACTTTGTGTTTCATACCTTCTAATAGCTGATTAAAGAGGCCAATGGGTTTATCTTCTTTTTGATCCTTTGGTTCAAGTGCACTTTGGTATCTTGTTCTCAACAACAATAAACTGGGAAATTTGTTTTCAGAATTGTCATAAGATTTAAGTTACCAAACTTTTAAAAATCCCTTTACCACAACTTGAAAACCACGATCACATTTCAAAAAAGTAAAGTAGTGAAACAGAATTCTTCATTTCAGATTATCCCCGCGCCCTATTAATAGCGAAGCTCTCGTGCGAGCGAAACGCGGGCAGCGGAGCAGCATTGGTAAGAAAATTTGATTGCTTATGCATCCAAAAAATTGGGGTTGTCACGTGACCGTACGCCCGCCCGTCCATCTACCCCACAGGCTTACCAATGTAAAATAACTAGGGTGAACGGTGAAAATGAGCGACAGTCAAAAAATAAAAGTGTACAGGAACACAAGCAACAAAATCTTTGGTGAACACATGCAACACACCTCCATAAAAATAATGTGTAACTGGGAAATTTCACGGTTTAGTCGTTCAAAACAATGGCATTGTAGTCGTGCAAAACAACGGCAAAGAAATGTACAAAAAGGTGTAGGGCACCTGCAAATTTTTTTTTTCTTTTCTTTGTCGGTTTTTTTTTTTTTTTTTGCTAATTAGATCTGTTGATTTTGTTGCCGTTCTCATAGCCGTCGCCGTTTACCATCGCACGATTTTATTTTTTGTTTATAAGTATATTAACGAGAGCTTCGCTTTTAGCTCTGGCTAAATCTATATATTATATATATATTGCACTTACGAATTTTTGGCGGCATTGTATTTCAATTTGCGGAAATCCCGCAATGTTCCCTCCAGAATAAACCCTATTTTACTACGTATCTTTCAATTAGCCGCAGCCAGCTTCATCAACGTCAGCAGTGATACGTCGTTGATAGAGGGTTCAGTTCTGCAGCTATTCTGTGATGCATCTGGCCGACCAGCTCCAAATATCACGTGGGTGAGAATCACCTCAAGTGGCAGTGAGAGTAATGTATTACACAGGGGTACTACATGGGAATTTGAAAACGTCAGCAGGACTGAGGCTGGCACTTACCGCTGTATAGCTTACAATGGAGTAGGAAATTCAGTGAGCCATACACTAAGGGTGAATGTGGAATGTGAGTACATTTAATATTTTCCGGCAGTTACAAGTATACATGCCTTAATAATGTAAACTTTGTTGCAATAATAGTTAAATCATTAGGAAACGGTGATCCACAGTGCAGTTGAAGGTTGGGTGAGAAACTTGTTTTCGTCACTCTCACACCAGAAAATTGCGTAGCTCGCATTACTAACTATACATCTGTCTGGATTTGCAGAAAGGTACCTCCAGAATTTTTTAGCAACAGTCTCATTTGAGGCTTGTTCAGTACCTGGCCATTTTTTTTACTTACGATGTTTTCAGTAACAAAACTGAAAACCTAACAAGCTGCAATAGCCAAAAAAAAAGTGTTTGTAATGCTGTTTGCATCTCCCCTACCTATCATTTACCATAATTCTCACCGTGTCATAAAACACTTGAAATCAGCTCGCGCAGTAGAAGTTGTTTTTCGTGGTCGGTTCATTTTCTAGATTTCTTTTTAGCCGCCTGCAGCAAAGTTTTCCGGAGGGCATCATTAAGCCTTATGAAGGAACAAGTCTTCACGAACGGCAAAGTCTGCCGTCGACCAATATGTTACCGTATTTCGTCTCATTTTCGCTAAACGAGTGAAACTCTGATCTCGGGCTTGAGACGGAAAGGCATCATATTGCGAGCTTTGATGTGGGCGGTGACGAGTCTCTGGCCGCAAAAGTAGTTTGTAGGAGTCAAATCTATTCGGCCTGAGCAAAATTGATGCTGATTTCTGACCAGGCCAGAGACTTAGTTAAAAATTGTTTTGAAGGCCGGCCTCTATTTGTCCCTTTCACAACGGCTCGTCTCCATCCGGCCGGATCTTGAATAAATCGACTGGGTTAGGACAGTTTGCATGTGATGATTTATGGGGAGAAAGGGAGAGTTATTGAGCGAGGCGGTAATTTGATGATATTTCGCCTATATTAAGCGTGGTTCGTATGTATATGACATTACAAAGAACAGATTAGAAATATATCTTGAGCTTTCATAATACTGACTCACCCTAGTGTATTGTAACAACTAGATTTTATCATTTATACAAGAGGGGGAGGGTCACTAAAATGATATTTTAGGCCAAGGTCAAGGGAAGGGTTAGCAAATTTAACTCCCACTGCAGGGATAGGTCACCTCATTTCCGAACCCAAATTCAAAATTCCCACCCCCCTCCCCCCCTGGTAATTTCTGACAAGTCCCTTATGAAGTCTTATTTCGTGACCATAACAACTGGTCATCTCTAAACCTGTATCAAAATACGTGCGAGGGATAAACGAAAAGCCACTGAAAACGTTAGGTGCTGACATTTGAACGTCTAAAAAAACTTAGAAAAACCTCTCAGAGAGGGTGGAATCATTCCCCACTGTTCATTGCGATAATTGTTAATCAAAGTAATCATGTAATTCACTTTTTTTGACCCTTTTAGCAGTTTCTCCACGTAATAATAGCACTCTTGATATCATAAAAATGTATATGTATATAGAAGAACAGCACTGATTTAAGAAACAAAGAGGTAGTTCCTTCGTTTCAAAGGGCAAGTTTTTTTTTCCATAATGTACCTCAGTTTTTGAGATCCACAACAGCATAAAGTTTCATATTATACCCTATTGTTCTGTTCATACTTCTTTTTTTGATGTCCGTGCTATTTAACTGAAGCTTAATTTGTTCATTTTTTTTCTGTAGTTCCTCCTGTCATTGTCACTGCATTAGATCACATAGCGTTAGAGGGAAGTAATTTGACCTTGTTCTGCAATGCAACTGGCAATCCACAACCAGACATCACATGGACAAAAGTAGGAGACAGTAGTGTGCTGTCTTCAACGGAGACTTTATATCTAATAAACCTGAGGAGAGAAGATAATGGTGCAGCGTACAACTGTAAAGCAAACAATAGTCTTGGATTCTACACAGTTAGCGCCTCGATTACTGTGATGTGTGAGTACACATGCATGGAAAACTGTGTAACAGTGTACTCAAGTTGACACTCTTCTGCTTTACATTTCGTAATAAAATCATCTTTAAAATCCACCATAGTGAACCATTAATACCGTGGTTTTAGTCACGTACTTGTTTTTATACTAATGTGTACATTTCTTTCAGTTGCGCCAGAGGTGACAGTCTATCAGTGTTCCACTCCAGTTATTGAGGGTGATAATGCAGCACTTGGGTGTAATGTGACTAGTAATCCTGGGCCCAGTATTGAGTGGGTCTTCGAAAGTACAGGGGAAGTTATCTCTAGCTTGTTGAACATCAGTCGAAACGATGGAGGAGTATATCTATGTATTGCTAGGAATATCATCGGGAACGACACCAAGAACTGTACAATTGATGTTCACTGTAAGTTGATACGATGTTCGTAGCGGTTGCTTTAACATACAAGTATATAACAGGGGCACCCAACGGCAATTTTCGGAAAATATCTGTTCGGAAGACAATTTGCGATCTAGAATTTTCGGAACATTTATTGTAAAATTTCTTGCTTGCCTGCCTCTCCTACGATTTTCGAACATCTACAAAATGGTATAATTACCCATTTTTAACGGATTTTTACCCTAAAAAAGGCCACCTAGAATTTTCGGGAGCCTTTTCCTGGCTGAAATTTTCGAAAAGGTAAGTTTTGATCCCTATAATTTTCGGATCACTAGACTTTCAGCTAGGAAATCCGAACAGATGAAAAGTTTTTAGGGGATAAAAATATGCCTATATCTACCGTTTAAATACTAAAATACGTTCAACAATGCTTTGTTAAATAGTTTTGAACTATATCCTCGTTGGGTGCCCCTGTATATAATGGATGGTAACCATTAGAGCTGTCGTTCATCAAGGTTGTACTTTCTTCTAGTCGGACATGAAGCGTTCCTCTTGGAGATATGTAACACTTTACATTTGCTTCCGTTAAATTCCATCTGTGTAAACAGTCTAGGTCTCTTTGGAGGAGCGAATAATCGTTGGTCCAAGCAGTTTAGAATCATCGGCGAACAGGGTGATGTTTGAGTTAGAAAGTAAGGGGGTGTTTAGATGACATCGGGGCTAATTTCGCGCCGGCGCGAGTTCACTCCTCTGCCCTCTCGTGGCCATGTATTTGTTTACTTGCTTTCACCACAAAAAGTCAGGCTGGAGCGGGTCACAGCTTCGAGAGTTCATCCCGTTTGTTCAAACAGGGCGAGAATTTCACCACTGTACGAAATTTTGCAACGGTATTTTGTAAACATTGACAACATCGACATATGGGCTATTCACTATTCATTTTAAAGCAAAGGGAGAAGAAGATTCTCATGCTGTATTAAGAATATCTGCACTAAATAGTGATTGAGAGTCACGTTTTATTTAATGCATATAGGCTAGTCTGCCATTAGTTTTCACCAGAGTATATATACAGTCGACTCCCGATAACTCGAACCCTCGCGCTAACTCGAACCAAAATCGATTTCCCCTGGATTTCCGTCGTACATTCACTGTAATTTTACCCTCGGTAACTCGAACTCCCGCTAACTCGAACCAATTTTCGTTTCCCCTCTGATCATTTTCTATATAATTTTACCCTCGATAACTCGAACCATATTTTGAGCCCTTAAAAAGTCGGAAAAAAGCCGTCTACGGGCGTCCGAAACATTGAATTTTGGATTTCCTATTGACGTGTTGTAGGAGTATAGTTTACTAGTGGAGGAAGACGTTGATTGTCAACGGCTAACGTGATGCAGTTTTTCTTCTCAAAACAGTAAAACGCATGCTCTATTTAGGCTATGTTTTGTTACGTTACGTTCTGATTTATAATCTACAAGTATCTTTTAATTTTCACTTGACATTTCTACAATTAAATTTGATTAAAATGTTCACTGTGCAGTAAAAACTGTTTTTTACCTTACTCTGGGCTATTTTCTTCGGGATCCCGATAACTCGAACCTTTTTTCGATTCCCTTGAAGGCTCGAGTTATCGGGAGTCCACTGTAATTTAATTGCTCCTTAATTTACGTGGGGAAAAAAAACAAAGAAAGAAAATTATCCTCATGTTGTAATAAGAGTATCTGCACTTAGGGTATTGTTCCAATATATTTCTATTCACACGCTGTTGTTGACTACTGATTGCCAGAGTAAGACACAGGACAAAGCTTTGCCCAAATTAACCCCACATGCTGCATTTTTTATATAGAGTAACTATCGTTTATCTATTTATGTATTTATTATTGTTATTATTATTATTATCATTATCATTATCATTATCATTATCATTATTATTATCATTATTATTATTATTATTATTATTATTATTATTATTATTATTATTATTATTATTATTATTATTTCAGTTCCACCTGAGCTCACCACGTATCCTATAAATCAGACAAAGATAGAGGGAGAAAACGTGACTTTCACTTGTGATGCGACAGGAAATCCTGAACCTATTTTCCTGTGGACCAAAGACGGAGCTCCTGTCAGTCTGACTACTCTAAAGATTATTTTTTCATCCGATTTTAAGCGGTTGTTCATAACGAATGTGAACAGAACAGACAGTGGAGAATACGTTTGTAGAGCTACTAACTATATTGGAGGATATCAGTCCAATTCTGCTTCCCTTAACGTATATTGTAAGAATATTTTATGTTTTTCATGTTTTTGTTGTTTTTTTTTGTTATGGAAAGCAGGTTAGAAACTCGATACATTGGAAACTCAGTTTTCTTCACTTTCTTTACATAGAAAATATTGAATGAAGAACTGCAATACCTTTCCTTGTACATGTTTAGATTGCAAACACTGTAAACGCACCCTTAAAATTTTCGTCATTGGTTTGCTCTGTTACAAAATTTTCATTCTTTAATTTAAAGAACGGTAGGAATGAAGGAAGTGTAACGTACATCACAATAAAATATACCCACAGTAATCAACAAAATTTGTGAAAAGAGAGATACAGAGTTCGTGAGGAATAACTGTCATAATCTGTAAACCAAATAACGTCCATCGTGATTGTTGTTCTCCAAAAAAAGGCAAGAACGTTGGAATACAAGGGGAAAGCTTTAAACCGGTCGATGGATCTTAGTTTTTTTTTTTCTCGAACAATTAAATTACTTAGCTGCATCGTTTGTAAAAACGATGTTTTACTATAACAACTCATGAGAAATTTAATTCATATTTTCCAATTAATTTTGATATTCAATCAAAGAACTTTCAGAAGTGGCGCTTACATAAGGACCTTTCATGCAACTTATGTACCTTGGCGAGACTCGTTCTCCAAAATTCAGAGTAACGTTTAATTGAATACTTAAATAGCCTAGTCTCTTAATTTGTCCTTTTGATGTGGGAAAAACAAGGAAAGAAACAAGATTTTCAAGTTATATTTATAAAATCTGCCCTAAAGGGTATTTATGTATTTACAGATCGTCCTGAATTCATCCAACATCCAAAAAATCAGACACTGACAGAAGGGGACAACGCGACCTTTACCTGTGATACGTCTGGAAATCCTTCACCCACATTGTCATGGACAAAAGACGGATCTGTTGTTAATTTGACGTCAAGAATCAGTTTATCATTAGATAACACCCTCTTGGTTATAACGAATGTGAGCAGAGGAGACAGTGGCCAATACATATGTGTGTCTGCCAACGTTGTTGGCACAGTTCAGTCCAGCAGGGCAACACTAAATGTGCAATGTAAGAATACTCTTATGATTATTCAGCTTTACCTAGTAGAGTTACTGTTCAACGAGTTCTTGAAATGTCTGACGTTATTTGTATCTGTTCGGTCATCCTAGGGGAATTTGAGTCTTTTCGAAATTACAAGAGCATGAATATAGAAAAGAAAAGAGTGACGTCACGTTACCATGGTAGCACTATTTCTGGATGAAAACGAAACCAACGACGACTGGGACGACACAGAGAACGGCAAAAAATAATAGGTTTTTAATAACAAAACAACAACTTTGCACGTGCATCACGCTCTTTTCCACATTTCTTTTCCATCGTTGCACCACTACGACATGAAAATTGCTCATTTTCTGCACTCGCTTTATGGAGTCAGTAAACACAAGACAGAAATTGTCTTTTTGTTTTTCTAAACCTAGATATGGTCCTTTCGGGTTAAACTCCAGAAAAGTTCGCCAAAATTTGACAAATTAAATAAAATTGAATAAGATCGATGAAGTTTGATGCAGTGCCAATTTACCTTTTAAGTGATGTTTCCGGTTTGTTGTCATCCAAAATTTATGCTACAATAGCAACGTGACGTAAGGACTTCTCCTCGTGATTGTATTTCCAAAAATAATAGATGCAATTTGACGTATGACGAAAGTGAGACATTTTCGTTCACCATTGTATGTTCGAATCTGAAAATTTTAGGTTAATTTGCTTTCGCTTCTTTTTTTCGGAAGTGAAATGTGAAAATTAAACTCCAGGACCCCCGGTTCCTAGAAAGATGGTTAAGTTTAATCCAGCATTAAGCCAAATTTCACCAAGCACGGTTTTCTCGTCTAAGAACATGCAACTCGAGACGACAAAATACTGTCGAGCCTTTAATACGGGAAAACACACAATGTTACCCTAAGCAATGCATAGGAATGTGAAATACAAAAAAGCAAGCAAAATTTTAGTTCTGGATTGACGCTAACCGGCCTTTCAGGAACCGGGCCCTGATCAGTTAACAAAAATTGGTGCGGGAATTCATCAGATAAGCTTCGAAAATTGTCCATGAATGGAACGGTGATCTAGACATTTTTAGCCGTCCTCAAGTGCAGAAAATTCTATTGATATGCAAAATTTGCTTCTCCGAACAGATTTTTACAGAAAACAGTCATTGGGTGCCATTGCCGACTGTACACCCCTTCCACTATCAGTATGGGAAGCTTTACATTTTTTTGTTAGTTAAAGATTATTTAATATGCCTTTTAATTGACCTTCATCGCGGATTACATATATTAAAATGCATATGGCCAGAGATCTAAACATTCAACGATGTTATCAGTCACAGGCTGTAGCTGCTAACAGCAAAATTGTTCTTACTATACTTTCAGTTTTGTGGCAGCCAGTAAGCTAATTCCCTTAAAAGGTGTCGCTTCATATAGCGCATTACAGGATCATGACTTAATGCTTTCTGGAGAGCCACACCGTTTGCGTTAACCAATTCTGATGTTTCTAATTTGCCACAGTTCGCCTAAAAATTGCAACTTAGCTTTTAACTGCTTGATACACTGTATTTAACTTGCCCTAAATTGTGGCCTCGAGTTGCAATGAAAGTTCAAGTTCTTTGGCTGTACTTGATTACCTGGACATACGTCACGACGACACAAGGAGGTAACAAGTCGAGTTTACTTTAATATTGTTTACGGTAGTATTGCTAAGTGCGCATACGTAAGGTTTCAACTTGATTTATTAGGACTGAGGGCTTAGTTAATATTAAAAAGGTGCTAGGTTTGAATCGATAAAAACAAACCAGGTAAACGTATACTCATCTTAAAATAGATCTGGATTTTTATCGAATGTTCGAAAATGCGGTCTACATTATTTACACTATGATTTGCTCCCCTCTTCATATATATTCCGCATACTTCGGTTAGCCTACGCTAGCCTTCTCGAGGAAAAGAACTCGCTTTTTACTTGACAGCAGTCTCCTCGAAAAGGCAAAGGATCTTTTTTTTTTTTTTTATCTCCTTGAACCTATATTTCAGCTTCATTCAGCAGCTCAGCAGGGTGATGAAGGCCGAATGCAGCCGAATATGAGTTTCACCAAGCTCATTCTCTCTTGGTTTCACCGAGTTGAAACAAAATAATAACTTTCCATATCAAAGTCCTGACAGCCTCAATTCTTGTGAATTTCGGTAACTTCCAGAGGATGGTGTGAAAAGCTAATAATAATAATAATAATAATGGTTTTCTTAGCAAATTTAAACAAATATTGGCTCGTCTATGCTACAGCTGTAAGTTAGAAGGTAGGAAGTACATAGCAAAGCACATACTCTATAAAAATAGCGTACTTTTATTGAGCGTTAGGTCGCGCCTTTGTTGTACGTTATATGTCGATCCTCAGGTCTTTTGTGGCAGTCTGTTGCTCGTTTTACAAATATTGTTCTTTGGTGTGACTTTTTGCATTGCTCTTTTGGTTGCTTTTCAAGAAAACAGAGAAAATTAATCATGAAGGAGCCCCGCCTTTGCATGTCCAATCTTCCCCACAGGCCTATTGCAACTTGAAGCCAATCTAGCGATCCCAAAAACTCTATTTGGGCACCACCATGATTAAACAGAGGTCTAAACGGTTTTTTTCAGACTTCATTCTACTATGACTCGGACAAATAAAGATCCCCGACGAGCTGTTCAGCATACAAAAGTTCATTCCATGATATTTACCTATATTTCTACTGATACGGTGTCTGTTCAAGCATGCAGTAACTGTTGCAGAAACTTGTATTAATATCTGCCTTGCCACTAATTCAAAATGTTCCAGCCGATACAGCTGTGAATTCCGAGAGTCTATAGGAGACAGTGTAGCCGAGCGGTTAGAGTTCTGGAATTGTAATCCAGAGGCCCCGAGTTTAATCCACTCCCTAACCGCTTGCAGTATTTGTCCTTGTTTGTCCTGAGTTCAAATCCTAATACAGTCACACTTGTAAATAGCCAACTAGTTTGCTCCCAGAAATGTGGGATTCTTAACCTCCCTTGCCACAATCTGAATAGATGGTTTACCGCTAATGGTATTACTCCTGTAAAGCCAGCTTCTAAGCTTTTAATGTCGTTTTCTAAAACTCAATCTTTTTTATTCTTTTACGCATTTAGTTTTATTTTGCTTTATGTAGCGGTCCCACGCCCACCAGAGAATGTGACAGTTATCACTAAGAGCTCACGAGTTGTGAATATGTCCTGGACACCTGGCTTCAGTGGCAACAGTGATATTCTTAACTACACTGTAGAGATCAGTACAGATAATCAAACATTTGCAGAGGCTAGATGTCAAGGATTGTCAAGTAGTGGTTGTGTGGTATCAAGCACCTTCAGAAGCGCTTCTCTTGTAGACCTACATCCTGGAAGGACATATTACATACGGATGTTTGCTACTAACAAAGTTGGTGTCAGTGCTGTAAGCTCGGTAATCACCACAACCACGGATGAAGAAGGTAAAAAAATCGTTAAGTAACATTGCTCAGCTGCTTCTAAGGTCCAGGCAAAATTCAAAATTAGTCACGTTGCGTGTTATGGCCACTTTTCAGCACTTATACAATTCTTTAAAAGGTCTTGGATTGTAGTACATGTACATATATGTCCGAGTAGAAAAATGTAAAGAGTGTAATGTAAAAAGGGATAATACCACTGATCATGACTGGTTACGTTACTCCAGTAATTGCAAGAGAGAATGAGAATTGATAACTATTTTTGACAAATTTTGTTCCGTCTGGAACAGTGTAAACTGGTACATATGTCCGACCCGACCAAGTAGCACCATTTTAGTGGGACAAAACCGGAAAAGAATCAACATATTATATATCCTTGACTTTTAGACATCTTTAAGCGATGAGAGTATCTTCAACTCCAAAATGGTCGTGTCAACTTGTAGTATTTGATCTGCCCAGTCATAATGTCCTCTATCAATTTCCTACTGCAGGTGGGTATTACGTCCAACGGGAGACTTAATTTTAGTGGGACATATTTTTGTCGGAGGACTACTTGCTATTTTCGGCTCTCATATTGTTTTCTTTTAATAGACTCTTCCGTAGACGAATAACTCTATGCTTGATAATGACCACCCATGATCCGACAAAAAAGGCTCATTTGAGCTTTAACCTTCACTTACGGGAGCTTAAACTGTACTCACGTAAAAACCGAACGTAGAAAGTTATTTTTACTTTTGATTTTAATCAGGAACGCATTATCCAGAGCTAGAAACTCCCATACTAGCCCTATTTCACGGCGTTTTCACGGACCCGTTTATTTTTAGACCGTTTTGGGGCACTTTTTCCCGCGAAAATGGGATCTCCGCCTCGTCTATGAACGCATCGGAAGTATAAGACATCAAAAAACGTAACATCATTAAAAGGCAAAAGTTATCATTTTTAGGCCTGTAGGTTTTGCTGACTGGTTTGTGGGACTTTGATATTCTAAATTCTCGCCAAAACCTTTCTAAAAATAAACTTGTCGGTGAAAACGCCGTGACACGAGTACATGGAAGTTGCTCACTACAGGTTATGGGCTCCTGTTTCAATGTATGTGAAATGGTTTTTGTAAGACTATAATGTTATTGCAGTACCAAATGCTCCCCCAACTAACGTCAAAGGAAACAATGTAACCTCTACAAGCATTTTGGTACAGTGGGATGAAGTTCCAGCAGACAATCAAAATGGTATTGTAGTGACTTACACAGTCACCTACGCAGAGTTACCTGCTGGTGATTCAGGAAAGGAGATAGTGATTGCTCCAAGAACAAATCAGTGGTACATTGACAGGATTGAAAAAATTTACCAACTACAGCATCACAGTGTTTGCATCTACTGCCAAGGGGGGGTTGTTGATAGAAAGAGTGAGCCTATTATTGTCATTACAGATGAAGACCGTAAGAACAGTCAGTTCTGGTATTACCCAGTCGGTTGTTACGTACTCATTTGGAATCTGTAGGGTCTAAAATGTAAATCCACACTTTAAAAAGTCTTTTTATTCCTTACGAAATGGGAAAAAATTATTCTGAAACAGAAAACATGGTTCTCTCTAACTTTGAAATTGTTTCTTAGAGCCTGATGGTGCACCACAGAATGTGAGAGGACATAACACCAGTTCAACCAGCATATCAGTATCGTGGGAAGCAGTGCAAGCTGATCTTCAGAATGGTATCATTACTGGTTACAATATAACGTACCAGTCACTGACAGAGAATGACAATGGATTTGTACTAACTGGTCCTGATGATCGTCAGGCTAACCTAACAGGGCTGAAGGAGTTTGTTGACTACAATATTTCAGTGGTTGCATTTACAGTTAAGGGAGATGGACCGCCCTTTTTTCTTGTTGTTAGAACAGATCAAGATAGTAAGTAAACCTATGTTTTCCTGATGTGTCTGCCGGCATATGTATTCGAACGGCGGCACGGATAAGTTTCAGCACTGACATTTTGCCTTAGGACGTTTTTATGCAACCGTCGTTAAAATTTACCGCTTAATCATTCACCTGGTTAAACATAGAAATGGATAGCGAATAGTTTTTATAATTTTTATAATTTTTGAACAACATATCAACCCAGCGTATATGGTTCACCTTATACACCTGGTAAATGCTGACTACAGCTTGTCGGAATGGTAAGTTGTAAAACTTACTTTCTTTGCACCATGACAGCCACTTTTTTTGATATGAAAATATATTCTAATTTGGCCCAACAACAAGCAGATTAGCGTTCCATTCTAACGTTACTTTCCCGGCATCGAACATTTCGAATTTAACTTCTATCTTCATAGCCTTAGAGTTGTCTAATCAATATTTATACATGGTAATGGTTTTATTTGTTCTTTCTTTATTTATTTATCAACACCAACCTTTTATACGTAAAATTACATTATAACATTTACTTCTTTAGTTTAAGATAAATTTACAGAGATACCATTGAATTACGATACAAGAAACCTTAACCTTGAACTACGATACAGTTTGATTTAAACAACAGTTACATAAAATACGTGCTATAAAAGGAGCAAAATATAAATAGTAAGTTGCAAATGCACTTATCTTTTTTTTATCCTTAGGACCCCATGCTCCCCCTCAAAATATACGAGCAAACAGCACAACTTCCACTAGTATCTTTGTAAAATGGAATGATGTTCCTTCTGAGGACCAAAATGGCATTATCAGGAACTATACTGTCAGATATCGGGCAGTCGGTGCGCTGGGACCCTTTGATACTACGAAGGTTTTTACAAAAGAGGCGAATCTAACAGGCCTGATAAAGGATGAGTCTTACAACGTCAGTGTTTTAGCGACTACAGACAAGGGAAATGGACCTTACAGCGTCCCGATAATACTTACTACAACTGAAAACAGTGAGTATTTCTAAACGTTTATTAGGAATAGCAAAATAAATACCGTCGCGGCTTTGTTTTTTGCGAGCATGATCCCTTCGACAACGGGAAGTATTTGAAAACCAATTGCGTCATCCACTGGCATGGATAGACAGTTATAGTCTTAGTATAGCATCATACATCGTTTGAACAAAGTTTTGGCATGTGGCTTTTTGTCTCATCCGAAAACGTAGGTTTCACAAAAACCGAATATTTTTTTTATTATACATTGTTGTGACATATTGTTTTATTATACATTGATTAGACCAAAAAAAACCCTTCGCAAGGAACCTGACTTGATATAATTGTTATTGGAAATCATGCATTGCGCGCGCAAAATTCAGATTAGTCAGTTATCTGCTAGCAGATAACTAACTATTCTGGGCCCAGCTGTTCGAAGGCCGATTAGCTCATAGCACGGGGTTAAATTTAACCCGGGTTTCCTTTTCTTGTGTTCAAAACCATTTTCTCCGGTGATTTTCTCAGTTATTTGTAGAGCTTCCAACTTGTAGACAAAAAGAATTAAAATTGAAATGCTTTTTAAGCTTTCATATCTGAATTCAAATCTTGCACTAACCCTGGGTTATCTTAACCCAGCTTTGAACAACTCGGCCCTGTGTAAGTTGCGCTGATTTCCAAAATTAGCGGTAGGCTCTTAGCCAATGAGAAGACAGATAATGAGTACAATGTATATATAGTAATTTGTATTATGTGATCTGAGCGCCATTTTAAATTCGGTTCAACAGGTTGCATTCACTGTTCGACTTACGAGGTCATGCGCTCTTCTGGCTTTAATCTTACCTAGAGGGAAGAGTGCAGCGTATTTTTGTTAACGGCAGTGTCTTAAACAGAATTGCTTTAGAATGTGGCGTTAAACGGGGTTCATGCTTAGGCCCGCTATTTTTTACGATCTATACTAGCAAGCTGTTTGAGTTCCTGCGTTTGCACCTCCCTTCTGTGCATGCCTATGTCGATGACATTCAGCTGTATGTGTCATTCATACTATCTGACAGTTTGAACAAACTCGAAGTCGTGACTGCGCTGGAGAATTGCATTCTTGATGTGTGCTTGGATGACAGGTGGTATGCTGTGGTTAAATGATGAGAAGACGGAGTTTCTATTGGTTAGCAGTCGACAACAGCTGGCTAAGGTGTCTATAAATGGCATCGAGGTTGGTTAAGCTGATTTGGCTCCTGTCTCGTCCGCAAGGAATCTGGGTGCTTGGTTCGACTCCCAGATGGTTGTGTCTACTCTTATATCCAAAACTTGCGGTAGCGCATTCTACTATCCATCTCTATAACATTCGTCATATCAGGACGTTCCAGGCTGGGTCAAGCCTTCATCACAAGTCGATTAGACTGCTGTAAATAGCCTGCTTTACAGCGTTCACGATTTTCGAAATTTGGAAACCGCAAGTGCCAGGCTTATTTACTGCGCGCCTAAGTTTTGTCATATCACCCCAATACTAAAGTCTTTTTCGCAATCATTACGAAGTGGGAAACATTTTTTTTTTTTTGAAACAAACAAGAAACTGTTTTCTCTTACTTTGAACTTGTTTTTCAGAGCCTGCTGGCGCACCACAGAATGTGAGAGGACATAACACCAGTTCAACCAGCATTTCAGTATCGTGGGACGAAGTGCAAGCTGAGCTACGGAATGGCATCATAACTGGTTACACTATATTGTACAAGTCACTGACAGAGAATGACAATGGCATTTTACCAGCTGGTCCTAACGATCGTCAGGTCAACCTAACAGGGTTAAGGGAGTTTGTTGATTACAATATTTCAGTGGTTGCATTTACAGTTAAAGGAGATGGACCGCCTTCTGTTCTTGTTGTTAGAACAGATCAAGATAGTAAGTAAACTACGTTTTCTTGACTTGCTGCGCGGCATATAATAGAGTGATGTATTCAAACGGCGGCTGGTAAGTGCCAGCTAGCACTGACATTTTATCTGAAGACATTTTATCGCAACCGCTGTTAATTTTTACTTCTTAATCATTCACCTGGTTAGAAATAGAAATGCGCAGCAAATACGAAATAGTTTTATAATTCTTGAACAGCATACAACATACGTACATAGTGCACCTGGTAAATGCTGACTACAGTTTGTCCGAATGGTGAGCTGTAAGACTTACCTTTCTTTGCACCATGGCAACCACATTTTTCAATATGAAAAGAACGGACAAAAGGAAAAATATATTTTGATTTGGCCCAAGAACAAGCAGATTAGCGTTCCACTCTTACTTTACTTTTAACTTTTATCTTCTTAGCCTTAGAATTGTCTCATCAATATTTATACTTGGCAATGGTTTTATTTATTTTCTATAAGCAATTCATTCTTTCTTTCTTTTTTTATTAATTTACACCACCATTTCATACGTAAACTCGTATCATTACATCTAGTTAAAGATAAATTTAAAGTGATACTATTGAATTACGATACAACATACCTTAACCTTCAACTACAATACAGCTGTTTGAGTTTAACAACAACAGTTACATAAAATACGTGCTATATAAAAAGAGCAAAATATAAATAGTGAGTTGTACATGCACTTATCAATTTTTTAATATCCTTAGGACCCCATGCTCCTCCTCAAAATGTATCAGAAAACAGCACAACTTCCACCAGTATCTTTGTAAAATGGAATGATGTTCCTTCTGAGGACCAAAATGGCATCATAAGGAGCTATACTGTCAGGTATCGGGCAGTCGGTGTGCTGGGACCCTTTGACATGACGACGGTTTTTACAAAAGAGGTGAATCTAACAGGCCTGATAAAGGATGAGTCTTACAACGTCAGTGTTTTAGCGACTACTGAGAAAGGGGATGGACCTTACAGCGATCCGGCAATATTTACTACAAATGAAGACCGTAAGTATTTTCACGCTGTGAAAGGTTTGAACCCAGGTGTCATTTCATAAGGTGTTAGAGTATGATCGTCCGGGTGAACGTAGTCCCGATTAGGACTCTTGTTGTTGACAGTGACTGACTTTTCGACAACCTGTGCGGTTGTCATCTTGACTTCTGAGGACCAAAATGGTATTATAAGAACTATACGGTTAGGTATTAAGCAGTCAGTGCGGTCAAGGACCTCTTAACAGTTATTCGAAAAGAGGCGAATCTAACAGGCCTGATAAAGGATGAGTCTTACAACGTCACTGTTTTAGTGACTACAGCTAGACAAGGGAAATGGACCTTACAGCGTCCTGATAATACTTACTACAAATGAAAACAGTGAGTATTTCGAAACTTTATTTGGAATAGCAAAACAAATACCGTCGCGGCTTTGTTTTTTTGCGAGCACGATCCCTTCGACAACGGGAAGTATTCGAAAAACCAATTAATGCGTCATCCACTGGATAGACAGTTATAGTGTATAGCATCATCCACCGTTTGAAAAAAAGTTTTGGGTGGCTTTTTGTCTTATCCGAAAATGTCAGCAGCCTTGATAGGTCCGGTCGAAATTTCAAGGATATGGAGTAGCTGTAATTTCAGAAGAACATTATAGGGGACGTTTTGTCTGTACACCGAAATTTGCAATGATCGCAATATCTTGGTGATAAAATGTGAAAAACAAAACCTCCGAACTAGGTAAAAATAACCAAAACAAAAACAAAACAAAAAAACCCGAACGGCTATCCAAAATTTTTGTTCTCTTGTTGTTCTTCTCTTTCCCTCCCTGGGGCAACAACCCATTTTCTTTTAAAATAAATCCGTTCATTCATTTGATTTTTTGCAAGCAGGGACAATTTATGAACTTACTCATTCACTAGCCAATGTGTTTATCTTTACTTTTGCAGTTCCTGGTGCCGCTCCTTCCAATGTCAGAGCGAACTTCACAAGCTCAACTTCAATTTTAGTGAAGTGGGATGAAGTCCCTAAAGATAAGCGGCATGGCAGAATACGGTACTACACTGTCATCTGGAAGAGGGCACAAGGCGCAGATCAACGGGAAACAAGGAATGTTGATGCTCCCATGCAGCAATTTGAGTTGACAAATCTCGCTAAGTATGCTGAATACAGTATACAAGTATTAGGTGCTACGAGAGTAGGGAAAGGACCAGCCAGCATCCCAATCGTCCAAAGAACAGATGAAGACAGTAAGTAAAGAGGAATAAGTTGTTTAGAACGATTTGTATTAAAACAACGATAGGTCGGACAGTCTGGCAAACACCGAGCCTGCTATAAAAAAAAATCGGAAGGCCTCAACGCATCAAAATGTATGCGTCTTAAAACGAAACGCATTAGCGTGGACAGGGCCTTAACGTCCCTATTTTTCTAGAGGGAGACTGTAGGTGTCTTGGACAACGTCCCTTTAGGTGACGTGACGCCTAATGGACCAAACCCAAAATTTGCTCCTTAATTTTGTCGTTATTGTTGTCTTTTTTTTAATTTACAGTACCAAACGCTCCTCCAAGTAAGATTCAAGGATACATTTTAAACGCTACTAATATTTTGGTGCAGTGGGGAAGTGTTCCTCCTCCTGATCAAAATGGCATTATACTGAGTTACACAGTTACCTATCAAACGCTTCCTGATGGCAGTCCACGGAGAAAGGTAGTGAATACTCCGACAACTGAAGCAAAACTGACAGGACTCAATCCAAACACCAACTACAGCATCACAGTGTTTGCGTCTACTGTCAAAGGAGATGGGAGTGTTAGTACGCCTATCGTCGTTTTAACGGATCTAAATCGTAAGTTTACGCAAACACTCTCTTTCTGCTTCAATTGATTTTTAAAGTCATTTCCGATTAAGCTTTTCTGTCTTCTTCTCTCACAAAAATCTTCGATATCGATCATAAAAATGGACGTTCGTTGCAAAACGTTACAACTGTTAATTGTGATCGTTTTGCAAAGATTGTCATGTGACCATAAAATTAGACTCTGGATACAAATATTACATTTACGGATTATGTATTTGTTGCCATAATCTCTCAGGATACGATTAGAATTTCGCTGCAAAACTTCTCGAATAATGGGATCCGTTTGCAGGGATTCTTTGTTATCATAAAGTAAGACAGTCGCTATAAAACGTGAAAATTGAACGTTCTGAAGCGACTGGTTGCTATCGAGACAAATCTGCAAATCTGGTCCTCAAATGAATATTGAGGATCTTTGCAGTGAGACAAATCCAGATTTTAATGCTACGAAACTGCAATTGCAGTAACCGTCTGCTGTCATGGGGTTGGAATTTTACTGCAAAACTCCTGTATTTAGAGACTGTTGCAGTAACTTCCTGTTGTAGTATACTTAGGAAATTAATGCTGCAAAACGTTGCCATAAAAATTGCAAACCTTTGCAGTCATTGTTTGTCAGCACAGCTTGGACTTTCTGTGTAAAATTTCTAAGTATTTGTGCTGTGATTTTTTTTTCAACGTTTTGAGTAATTACCCAACGGTTTTGTTATTAAGAGCTTTTAGCCACAGGGTTTCCAAAGTGGACGGAGCTGTAGTTTTCTACAAAGCGTTTTCGGCATGACAATGGGTTCAGCGTCTGGCCTAGCGAAAAGGTAAGAAATATGATGAAAAGGTATGCATGTCAATTAATTACACAAAAAAACGAGAAGGCCTAATTTCTTGACGTCCGGCAGGTGGTAAACGTTTTTATTATACTAATAATATACACGAAAAAATTACTCAATTCTGATTGGCTGAGAAAGGAGTGCAGCTCTTCTGTAACACGAGTGCAAAATGTGTAACACGAGTGCAAACTTGTAACACGAGTGCAAATTACAAATGCTTTCTGATTGGCCGAAAACACAAAAGAAACCAACAAGAACCAATCAGATTAGAGCTGTTTTAACAACACAAATTCAAGAAAATGGCCATGGTTTTCAGCAGACGACGACGGGATTAAATTTTGTAAGCAAAACAACAATAGAAAAGTTAAAAAAAATATTCCAAAAAAACCCGAACACGGTAAAAAGTACGTCTTTCTCGCTAAATGTATTGAAAATGCGTTGCTAAGAGAAAAATACTGTCGACAAAATCGAGAAAAATGAGCCAGAGAAACTAAAAAAAAAGCTACTCATAACAGACTACGCTAAAGTAAAAAAAAAATAAAGAACAAAAACGGTTGCAACCACACGCCAACCATGACAGCTACACTCTTCAGGCATTTAAATGAACAAGGATTATTCAATGATAACAACAGGGATTTCAAGTCATGTACGTTATTTGTTGCTCTCTTTGAGTCTTTTGTGGAGCGAAGACCTTTATTAAAACATCCATGTGATGGTCTGTTTTTTTTCTACCTCAGTAGCAAACGAAACTGAAAATTTAGACTTCTGGTCCAAAGTAAACCAATGGGTGAAAATACCACAACTCACACAATGAAAAGTATCCGTAGCTGGTACTAGCGTTAAAGAAAGTGAAAAAAAAGTTTACGAATCATTGTGCAAGAAAAACAACATAGAGTAAGGTGAAGAAAGTAAAGATTGTAAGTTCAGAACATATCCTCAGTGTCACAGGCCACAGAGGTATAAATTTCCTTAACGACTACGATGAAGCCGACGAAGAAGAGCTACGATGAATCTTGCATTAGCCCAAATAAAATAATGAAAACTCCAGCGCTGAGAAAAAGCAAATATTATATTGATACTGACAGTTTCCGACATCACAACAACCGTGGCTCCACTCACCCATCGATGGTAGCGTCGAAAGAAAACAAATTGCCTCCTTCATTTTCGGGTTTTAAATCTCAAAAATTTGTCCGTGAATCCAGCTATGATGGGGTCTCAGGAACAGACAATGATAAACAGTCGTTAAAAATCCTTAGCAAGTGTCTTTCATCTTTGGCTGCTCGACGCGTTCTCCTGATTTCAAAACGGCAGTATACTTCTTGAAAACGCTTCTTGTAAACGCCGAGCTCTCATAATCGAGGATGAATTTAAAAACACTTACTTTTGTTGATTGTTGTAAACCAAGTTATCTTTAACAGGCTTGTGATCATATAAAAAAATCCTTGCACATTTCCAAGTTCTTAGCTGAATGATTTTGAAAGCGTTGGTCTTGAAAAAGTTTGAATTTGACAAAGGTAGTAGTCTGTTTCAGCCAATCAGTTGAATGAACTAAAAACGCGCGCGCTGTCAAAATTTGTTGTCGTAGTTATGTTTTTCGTGTATATTATTAATAAGTAATCACATGATTTTTCTCGTGCAATTTGGATTAAATAAGCACTTGTAAATTTTTCAAAGACCACAAAGTGCACTCGCCCTACGGGCTCGTGCACTTTTGTTAGTCTTTGAAAAATTTACTCGTGCTTATTTATTCCAAATTGCACTCGAAATCATGTGATTACCTATACAAACTGCAGTGTTTTACAAGGATTTCTACCACCGAGAAATGTGGTATCTGAACACACGTAAAAATACGATATTTTTACATGTGAAGATATCGATAATTTCACTGACATCAGGTTTGTCTCTTAAACTGTACTTAAATTCGTTGGTGTATCATCGAAACATCTTCGGGTCTTCCTTGAAAGTGCTCGGCAATCTTCGGAAATCTTCGGACATCTTCGGAAATTTTCGAAAATTCTCGGAAAATGTTTTGGAACGTTCGTCTGGTCTTCGGGACAATTTGAAAAATCTTCGGAAATCTTCGGAAGGTGGTCGGAAATCTTCGGAAAATCATCAAAAACGCCGTCATCAGTATGTTTATGTAATAAAAAGAATATTACACGTTAGCTCGAAGATATGAATTTTATGTTCTCGTGGCAAGAGCAATATCTCACTCGTTCGCTGCGCTCACTCGTGAGATATTGTTCTTGCCACTCGAACATAAAATTCATATCTTCTCGCCATCGTGTAATATTCTCTATATAAACAACATCGGCGGTAGTGATTTGTTGACAAACCAGAAAGCGTGCTGTTTTATTGGAACAGATATTAGGGTTATTTATACGAGGAAAAACAAGACGCGCACTAAATAAGACGCAAACTTTCCCGTATAAACGGCACATTACGAGGCGAGGGGGCTCTTCTTAGATAAGACGCTTCTTAGCTAAATTTTAAACGAAATGTGCCATTTATACGGGATAGTTTGAGTCTTATTTGGGAAGCGTCCCATGTAAGACGCGTCTTATTTTTCCTCGTTTAAACAGCCCTATTGTGCTTTATTATTCAACTTCACTCAAAGAAGTAAAAATAGCGCGAAAAACGAGTACGAATATCTCACGGTATTTGTACTCCAGAAGACCGGTTTGACCGGTTTTCATCTACAAACGTTGCATGGCAGAAAATATATCGTTTTCCGAAGAAAATAACGGAAAGAAGCCAAACTGTAAACTTAAATATTAAAAACCGAGCTTCTAGAGCAAATTTGCTTGGTCAACAATTAGATGTCGACATTTATTATATATAGATCGAATATGCAAACTTTAGAAGGTCAAGATACAACAGGGAAGACGAAAACAAACCTTAAGTTGTGTGATAGAGATGGTGCTGGCGAAAACCCGTGAAAGAAACAACGTCCATTAAATACAATCCCCTCCGAGAAAATGAACAGTCTTCACCTATGGTTCTTCTAAATTGTGAAGAAACTCGACATGGTAGACTGAAGACGTTCTCTTTTTTCTAGTGTAACCCGCGAAGATGACAAGTCTTTTTTTACGATTCGCTCTGCGCAGTGTTCCTGCTTGCAATCCGTTTTATACGTATTACTAACCGAAAGACCATCATAAGCCTCACTATTATTTGTCATTCCATCTCCGTTTTCTTAGCAAATGTTTGAAAGATAGAACCTAGGCCGCGAAGAAAAACTTGAAAAAAAAAAGAACTGATTTAGTGAGTAACCAGTTTGACAAGTTTTCATTTCTGACCAATCAGCAACAGTATTGATGAAAGTGCGCGAAAACTCGACTCACGTCAGTAGTGTGTCATGCATTCTCGTTATAAGTGAGCAAGCTTCCACATTTATACTTGGTGCTATTTTTTCGAGTTGAATAGTAAATCTCTTATTAGACGGTTTAGTGGGTACACGAGTCGTGGGATATACGCGTCTCTTTTATTTTGACTCGCCCTACGGGCAATAACCCATTATATTGCTGCCCTGTCGGTGGTTTTCGAAAAACATAATTAATTGTATTGACCGTTAAAATGGCCACCTTGTCACTGGGTTGAAAACCGAGAATTGATCACACTGACAACAATTACACAAAGGTCGGCAATTTAAGAATACGTCGCCCTTTTTTTTTTCAGTTAATTACATATTAAGTTTCACTTTTTTTCCTTTCTTCTTTTCCGCAGGAGATGCAACATTTCTCAGCCTTGACTTAATATGAAATATGAGACACGGTGTTTCATGCGATATCCATGTTCCGCTGAGAATTAATATGGAGATATGGAGGTAATATGTCACATACGAGAAGAGGTGTTCTGATTTCTAACATCCATCCGTTTTTTTTTTTTTCTTTATTTTCTCTTTTCTTTTTTCTTCTTTACACCGACTTCTAGGGGTCTAAATATCATATAAAACCCTCAGAGGAGTGTTTGATAAAGCCTTTCGCAGTTGCAAAAGATCAATAATAATCAGTCTTGAAGAAGTTCAAAGGCAAGTTTGCAGAATTTTTATGAGATAATTATGATCCGAAATCCAGTAGTGATTTCCTGTGTTTGTCGTCATGAATTTTTAATATGTTTGAGAAAACTTTTACAATCCATTTCAGGTTAGTCAACACGTTACTCAGTGTTAGTATCTCCAAGCAGTCAAGAACAAACTGGCATGCTATTCGAAATCAGGTTTGTGAATGCACCTTTAGCCTCAAACAACTTTCTCTCCAGAGCTCTAGACTTCTAAAACCCTTCTTGCCATTTTCATGTCAAAGGGCTATTTGCCTCTCGCGGGGGAATATGAGGAGAAGGTATAGGCGCAGAGGTGTTAGAACCAGCCGCATTCGGCACCTCAGTTCTTCTTAATAAATCCCCCTACAGCCGCCCTTTCATCTCTCACGTCCCTTTCAACGCTGTCCCTTTCCCAACCCTCCATTCGTCGCAGTATATGAACTGTGTACACTGGTTATTTTGACTGAGTTTGTTGCACGTCGTCTATGAGTATTTATATTTGTCAATCATGTGGTATATACACGGAATGCCGAAAGGTAACGGATGATGTGGCATTATTAGGTGGATACAAATACGATTGTTGTATGTTCCTGTCAAATAGCGACCATCAAGTTCTTATTCAAGATCTCGAGATAGTCTGTCCGTGGATACTGAAACACTCTCCAATATGTCCCCGATGTCAACAGGAACTGAAAATATGTTTCAGTATGGATAATCCCAAACCAGATCCCGAAAAGACTAATTTGTGTAAGTAGTGACTGCTTCCTTTTTTATCTTTTTACAATTTTTCTCGGAATTATTTCATTTTTGAATAATTAAGAACCTAAATTTTTCATTGCAATCATGTAATACCCAAACGAGTTTATAAGAGTCTGCGCCGTGGTTGTGTTGCTTGTACGTGTTTGCAAACAGATAATACGATTACACTTAGCTAGGCTGTCTTCGAAGTTCTTCTGTTTAGGTAATGGCCATTAACGTTAGACCCTGCTCACAATATTTAACAAAGAAGCTCCAGAACCTTAAATCATGAAAAAAAAAAATCAAAATATTTATTAAGAACAAAAGTGGAACGAGCCGAAGCCAAAGGTTACTCTTGAAGATCCAAATAATCATAAAATCGTGGTTCGGAGTCGTGGTAAGAAAGGCCATGCGTCATTAAAGCGGGGAGCCACATTTTCGTGAAACGAAAACAGCAACAATATTTTAGTTTTTTAGTTAGAGCATTGTTGAAGTCGTTTCAACATAACTTGTAAGTTGAATTTCAAATGATTCAACGTAGATTCATAGCAAAATTTGCCAAACGAAAGGCAAACAGCCTATGAAGTGACCGTCTAGTCAACAAGAAAAAAGGGGTTAAATAATGTTTTTATAATAACATTTGGGTTTACGAAGCTGGCAGTGGCCTGTCACATCAGTATAAACCCATTAAACCTGGTTCAAAACACGGACAGCTGCCAGCTTTAATTCCACCGGATAAATCACTATCCTGGGGATACGTATTAAGGAAAACAGTTGCACTATCCAGTGGATAGAGATTTATCCAGAGGATAGAGTTAACATAAACCTTTTGAGCAACTAAGCGCTGATCGCGCCGTGTGAAAGTGTAAAATGTGATGTATAATGAGCATAAAATGAGCATTCTTTTGGGGATAATTCATTCTTTATTGCTTTGCAAGGCGTTAAGACGCGACAAGGATCGACACGAGCTAAACTGTAAGTGTAAATGAATGCCGCATTATCTTAGAACTTCACTAGGGTACTGGCCATGTACCGCGGAGTGCTTTCTTAGTGTTTTGGTTTGGTGTAGTTTGGTTCGTTTGTTTGTTTTTGTTTTCTTTACCTAGCTACAGTAACTCTACATAACAATAACTGAAGAAATTCTGATAGTAAGATACCTGAAAAAACGCATAACCACGGATGGACAATCGAATCTGGTGATAAAACACATTGACGTCTTTCGAAGACCTGTTCCTAAATATTTTCCCTATTTAAAAATTGCAGAGAATGGTTTTTATGAGTCTGATATCAGTGTTGTTTTAAACGTAATTGCAATTTAAGTGATATTGTCATCAGCTAGCTGTTTTTGTTGTCTTCCCATTTTAACTTTGTTTTTTTTTTTTGAGGTCAACTCCATGGAAATCCGCACAACCAAGATTTTGCTATTCCCACTTCCCAATATCACAAACGAACTTGCCGATTTAATTTCGATCCCAATTGAAAGTCCGCCGATTTGAATTCAAAATTTTCTCCTAGCTTGATTACACATTGCTGAGGACAGCTGACCGTACATAAATTAAATACGGTAACTATTGCAAAACCCCGAACCGCAATTCCTCGGATGCAACACTCCAACCCAGTTTTCCGTTCCTTCCCTGGCAAAATGTTATTTGCGTCGAATCTAATTGACAAAATGACTTATCAACTTACCCACTTATTTGCCTTTCTCAATCCATTGAACTACTATTCATGTTGGGATTTTACATTGCAGGCCGATTAACTCAGTGAAGTGAGCCTACGAGCAGATTTTATCACCTTGCTGTTCGATCGTTTTCAGCAATCCATCATGGAAACGAAATTGCTCGTCTTAACCTATTCTTGCTTGTCACCGGCTGGTTTTAAGTTTGCTGGGCTAGTCAAGGAGGTTTTAGGACCTGCTTTAAAGAAACTGAACGCAGCTCACAGTGTCAGGGACCATCGCACACGTGCAGTGGCTGCAGCTACAGTCCTGCATGGTCTACAACATTTCGCGACGACATCGACAATGGAGGTAGAGGCTGGCACTACCAATGGAGAATTGAAGCACAGGGGACCATCGACCCGAAGATGGATTACCGTCTCTGCTTTAGGGGGACAGAAGGGAGCTCACAGTGCCAAGGAATAAGGAGCTCGTGTATTGGTTGGACGCCCTGTCCGTCCTGGACCCGTCGCTTCCGAGATGACACCGACAACAGGGGCGGCGGATGTCGTTACGCTTGGAAGATCGAGTCACGTTCTCCAAAGCTCCAGAAGCTCATTCAGGTGTGTCTTGTATGCTTTAGGCAGGTTGAGGGCGGCTCTCAGTAGCAGGGAAAGCGTCAAAGCTGCAGCGGATGGAGCGCTCCAGGCGCGACTTGCCTTTCCGTGATGATACTGACAACCGTGGCGGAGGTTGCATTTACCAGTGGTTTCTCGATTGTACGTCGATGATAGCTGCTATTTTTAGTTCTGTCCAAGAGATAGCCCATGTAACTAAAATAATACAAGAGACATGTACCTTTACGCCGACACCTGAATAGGGTTTTGTGACCGATATCTAGTACCAGTTTGAAAAGCCGACGGCCAACGGCCCAATTCTTTGTTAAAGTCATTATTTAGTGCCTTTTCTCGTGTACAGTTAAGAAGCAGATATACACCAAGCAAACTTTATCAGGGAGACTAGCCATAATAATACTTTATTGACACGCGTGTAGCGTATATACGTATACGTACATACGTTCGTGCGTACAGCTGAAATCTGGTAGCCTGAATTTCATCCGATTACTTCGAGTCGTTATTACTCCCTCAGTAACGTCTGAATCGACCTGCCACGTCCAGTGATGTCACTCACCACCCGAAAACCGGGTAGTGATTTTGATTGGTTGATTGTCTAAATATTGGTATAATTATGTATAATTATCAAAAATGTTAGCGGGATTGTCGCTTGATATTCAGCGGATCGCATCCCTGGCATTTCTTTCGTGTAGTTCAAACATTTCGATAAGCTTAATCTTTATCTTACAGCAAAATTGCCCTTGTCTTCGTAACTGAAATGCTAAATTGAACTGCGAATGAAGAATCATTGCGGAGAGTCGGTAGGTTTTTCATTTAGAGCCGCTTTGTGGTTTCGGCAGCCGGTGATTTTGTTTACGCGAAGTTTTCTGAGATCAATGTTATAATTCGACCTTCTTGCTATTTTCACTGTCAAGTGTAATGATTCTGTTAGCTTTTGCATCCTTCTTTTTTTCTTCGTTAAGGACCAAATGGCTTCTTTTCAATTAAAGCAAATCATTGTGTTTTTGAACTAAGTGTTTTCCGTGTGTGTGTTTATTTCATTGCGTGATTGCGACCGAGTTTGATTATAGAATTCAGAGCAACCGGTTCAGAGTTGTACTGCATGCAGTTGATAGTTTTAACGTTAAACATAAATTACGATCGAAAAAAATAAGAAATTCCGTATCATGCAGACATTTCCAAACTATATTTCTCGGTTTGCCACTTGAAAATCGTGTTCTACTCTTTGGCGGCATGAATTAAAGGGGCTGTGTCACGGCAGTCCAGTTCATTTTGTTTAATTTTGCCAATTACTCGCCCTCAATAGCTATGGAACTTAAAGTAAGCAAAGAAATTACATGTAAATGACAAAATCAGAGATCAGTGACAAACAAATATCTCTCCTGAGCATTATTTTTGAAGTTGCAAGCAGCAGGGACCAACTTTGAAAAACTGTTAGACTGAACAGTTTTCAAAAACCCTAATTTCAATCCGTTTGAGTCTTCTTCAGTTTTGCCCATCCGTGGCATCTGTTCTTTCTGCTATGTTATTTTAACCTTCCTTGAAAGTTTTAAGCGGTTTTTTTTGTTTCTCTTAATTTAACGGGCATTTTGTAATTTCCTAATTTGGCTGAATTTCGTGACACAGCTCTTTTAAAGCAAAGGTCAAGGAGTAGTGACGTCACTAGACTGGCATTAACGGCAGGTCGATTCAGACGTTACTGAGGGAGCAATAACTACTCGAAGTAATCGGATGAAATTCAGGCTAGAAATCTGGAAAAAAATATTTTTTATTTCCTGAAAGCATTTTCATCATTAAATCGGATGATTGATAAATCTGTCATATTATATTGGTGTCTTTGCCCGTCTGAAGGGTAGAAGTCTCGTCACTGTTTTACTGTTTTCCGTACTAGACAATAAAAGTAACTTACCGATAACATTAAAGATGTAAAATAAACAACCAGTTATTGCGTTTTCCTTCTTATTTATTTACTGAAAATGACCAGCGGAAAACGCAGGAAATGGCATTTCTGTGCCCCTAAATTTGAAATATTTTCTGGTGGAGCATGTCCCCAGAATCCCTTGTTTGGTGTACCTTCGGCGGTCTTAACCTTTCTTTCCGTACGTACGTACACCTTCAAAATCTCACGCTACGCCAAAGGGTGATTTTTGAATAAAGCTGAAAGCTGGCCCAATTTTTTTTCAATTCTATCTAAGTCCACTCCTTGCTATCCGTAGCAGCAGACACCAGGAGACAGTTTCAAAGACAAAACTGCACCATTATCTTTGGAATTCAATTAATGGGAGGACACGTTTTAGCAAATAGCGTGACATAGCCCCTTTAAGCATGACTGAACCGTAAAGATAACTTAAGTAACTGCCTATGGAGTAAAACAAACCAAAAGTTCTAAATAAGTCACGGTCTCATGGTTGTAGAATGATATTTATCACGCAAATACCCCATACACGAAGACAACATTTTGATCGCTTTTGAGGTTAAAATTTTCATCTCCTTGCCAGCTATGATTGCTTTTGAGGTCATTTCACCAAGTGCTGGAACTTGAACAAGATCGAAAAAGTTACGGGTCAGATATCAGAAGGAATATAGGATTTTGTAATCAAACAGATCTTTAACCCTTAAGCAGTTAAAGTAATGTTTAAGCTTAAAGTAACTATCAAGCCGTGCAGAATAAGTTTATCGTACGGTCAGTTTACGAGAGCGTGCAAGCGGGCAGCAAAGAAGGTTTAAGTACTGTCTAAAAATATCAGCTTACTGATGTGTGCGCTTCAGGAGCTTATAACTACTGTATGTTAGGAATTTTTGTAGGAGCAAGTACTTGACGGCGTCAGGGGTGTATGAAATGTCATGTTTGGATCTTTAAAGATGTCTCGGCGGACCTTTAACGGGATAACGCAAGTTAACCAGTTTTTAAGTGATTTATAGAACAAGGCGGATAGTATGACGACGCAAGCGCTGTGGCCGGCGCCAGTGAGGTTGGCGTAAACTACTTGATCATATGCTACAAGAAATGTGTTGCTTGATTGGGCCCCATGGATACTCAGCTTTGTCCTTTCTGTAATGGGTTCTCAGTTTTGGGGTGGGTGGTTGTAACTGTTGCAACTGTGCGAAAATATAGCAAATGTGGTTTAAGCAATGAAATAATGAAGAGAATACTGAGTGAGATGAAAACATACTTGAGACCTCCGGTCTGAGATGGGTTCTATAATTTTACAATTGTTAATTCTCTGATGGGGTACGGGTTAGCGATTCCTAAGCGCCAGTAAAAGACTCCGACCCACTCATTTTTTAGACTGCTCTACTCCCTTGGAACGAAATTTTTTTTTTATAAGAATTCTAATATTTTGCACTGAACGAATTCCCCGCAGAAAAGAACCTTATCTTTTAATTGTCACCAGTCAGTACCCTCAACGGGAATGAAATGTTCTGTCGTTCCTATGCTGAATGATTTCTAAGGCAAGAGAGTAAGAGCAAGCAAGAGATTTACAATCGTCTCGAGGGTTGCTTTGCGACATGATACTGTAACTATAACAGCAAATAAACATGAATGAATGAAACTGCTCGAGGCACGTCTATCAGCAATTTTGAACTTTTTAATCTTATTGCATTTCCGCAGAGTTTATGCACGTGCATGCTTACTTTGGCGGTTTGAAAACGCCCAATGTCTAACCATAA